GTATTTTTCTTTCATTGACTGGCTTATTTCTTCTTTCTTTTTTTTTTGAATATATTTTATTGATTTTTTTACAGAGAGGAAGGGAGAGAGATAGTCAGAAACATCGATGAGAGAGAAACATCGATCAGCTGCCTCCTGCACATCTCCCACTGGGGATGTGCCCGCAACCCAGGTACATGCCCTTGACAGGAATCAAACCTGGGACCCTTCATTCCTCAAGCCGACGCTTTTTCCACTTAGCCAAACCGGTTTCGGCTTGACTGCTTATTTCACTTAGCATAATGCTCTCCAGTTCCATCCATGCTGTTGCAAATGGTAAGAATTCCTTCTTTTTTACAGCAGCATAGTATTCCATTGTGTAGATGTACTACAGTTTCTCTTTGCTTCTTGGTGAGCCTGGCTAGAGGTTCATCAGTCTTTTTTTTTAAATATACTAGAGGCCCGGTGCACAAAAATTTGTGCACTCGGGGGGGAGGGGGGTCCCTCAGCCCAGCCTGTGCCCTCTCGCAGTCTGGGACCCCTCAGGAGATAACGACCTGCTGGCTTAGGCCTGCTCCCGGGTGGCAGAGGGCAGGCCCAATCCCTAGGTGCAGCCCCTGGTTGGGCTCAGAGCAGGGCTGATTGGGGGGTTGGGGCACTGCCCCGTCACACTCAAGGCAGGGTCGATGGGGAGGTTGCGGCGCCACCCCCCGGTCACGCACAGAGCAGGGCCAATCAGGGGGTTGGGGCGCCACCATTCTCACACTCAGGGCAGGGCCAATGGGGAGGTTATGGCTCTACCCTGTCACACACAGAGCAGGGCCCGTGGGGTGGAGGGGTTGGGGCGCCGCACCCTGTCACACACAGAGCTGCAGGGCGATCAGGGGGTTTGGGCGCTGCCCCCTGTCACACTGATCCCGGTGCTGGGAGGCATATTACCCTTTTACTATATAGGATAGAGGCCTGGTGCATGGGTGGGGCTGGCTGGTTTTCCCTGAAGGGTGTCCTGGATCAGGGTGGGGGTCCCCACTGGGGTGCCTGGCCAGCCTGGGTGAGGGGATGATGGTTGTTTGCAGCTGGTCACACACCCTTCAGGGTGGGGGTCCCCACTGGGGTGCCTGGCTAGTCTGGGTGAGAGGCTGAGGGCTGTTTTCAGGCCGACTGAAGCTCCCAACTGCTCCTTTTTTTCTTTTCTTTTCTTAATTCTGGGCCAGCTTTAGCTCTGGCTCCAGCTCAGGCTTCTGCTGCTGAAAGAAGGTATCTGGTTTGTTTTGGTTCTATAATCGAAACACTGTATAACTCCAGCTCTGAGATCCCGGGCTCGCTGAAAGCAGGTTTCTGGGGTTTTGTTTAGCTTCTACATTTGTTACAATGTTTCTTAAACTGCAGGCTCAGAGGCCGGCAAAGCAGGCGGGGAACGTTGGTTTCCTCCGTCACTGAAGCAAACAAGCCTCATGTTAGTTTCAAGCTGCCTGGCTGCTGGCTGCCATCTTGGCTGGCAGTTAATTTGCATATCTCGCTGATTAGCCAATGGGAAGGGTAGCGGTCCTACGACAATTACCATGTTTCTCTTTTATTAGATAGGATTTTATTGATTTTTTACAGAGAGGAAGGGAGAGGGTTAGAGAGTTAGAAACATCAATGAGAGAGAAACATTGATTAGCTGCCTCCTGCACACCCCCTACTGGGGATGTGCCCTCAACCAAGGTACATGCCCTTGACCAGAATCGAACGCGGGACCCTTCAGTCTGCAGGCCAACTCTCTATCCACTAAGCCAAACCGGTCAGGGCAAGGTTCATCAGTCCTGTTTATCCTTTCAAAGAACCAGCTCTTGGTTTCATTGATCTTTTATATTTTTTTTTCTTTTTGTCTCTATGTCATTTATTTCTGCTCTGATCTTTATTATCTTCTTTCTTCTGCTCACTCTGGGCTTTTCTTGTTGCTCTCTTTAACTTGTAGAATTAGATGGTTTATTACCATTTTCTCTTGTTTTTTTGAGGTAGGCCTGTAGAGCTATAAACTTCCCTCTCAGGACTGCTTTCACTGTGTCCCATAGATTTTGGATTGTTGTGTTTTCATTGTCATTCATTTCCAGGATGTTTTTAATTTCTTCTTTGATCTCTTTGGTAATCCAATCATTGTTTAATAGCATGCTATTCAGCTTTCAAGTGTTTGAATTTTTTTATTGTTTTTATTGTAGTTTACTTCTAATATTATGCCATTGTGGTCTGAGAAGATGCTTGATAGGATTTCAATCTTCTTGAGTTTGGAGAGACTTTGCCTGTGACCCAATATGTGGTCTATCTTTGAAAATGTCCCATGTGCACTTGAGAAGAACGTATATTCCATGGCTTTGGGGTGAAATGTTCTGAAGATGCCAAGTCCATCTGATCTAGTGAGTCATTTAGGATTGCTGTTTCTTTGCTGATTTTTTGTCTAGAGGATTTATCCAGTGATGCCAGTGGTGAATTAAAGTCCCCTACTATGTTTGTATTGTTGTCGATCTCTCCCTTGATATCTTCCAAGAGTTATGTATTTGGGTGCTCCTACATTGGGTGCATATATGTTTATCAGGGTTATATCTTTTTGTTGTATCGATCCCTTTAGTACTATGAAGTGGCCTTCCTTATCTCTTGATATGGCCTACACTTTCAGGTCTATTTTGTCAGACCCCAGCTTTTTTTTCATTTCCATTTGCCTGGAAGATATTTTTCCATCCCTTCACTTTCAGTCTGTGTGAGTCTCTTATTCTGAGGTGGGTCTCTTGTAGACAGCAAATATGTGGGTCATGTTTTTTTATCCATTCAGCCACTTGATGTCTTTTGATTGGAGCATTTAGTCCATTTATGTTTAAAGTTATTGAAAGGTACTTGTTTGTAGCCATTTTTATTTTTTGTGCCTGTGTTCCTTCTTCCCTTTTTATTTCTTCTTTTTACACCAGTCCCTTTAGCATTTCTTGCATTGCTGGCTTGGTGTTGATACACTCCTTTAGCTTTTTTTTGTCTGTGAAGCTCCTTATTTCGCCTTCAATTTTGAATGATAACCTTGCTGGATAGAGTATTCTTAGAATCAGTCCCTTGCTTTGCATCACTTTGTAAACTTCCTTCCATTACTTTCTGGCCTGATGTGTTTCTGTTGAGAAATTATTTGATAATCTAATGGGAGATCCCTTGTATGTAACTTTCTGTCTCTCTCTTGCAGCCTTTAAGATTCTCTCTTTGTCCTGAACGTTTGCCATCATAATTACAATGTGTCTTGGTGTGGGCCTTTTTGGGTTCATCTTGTTTGGGAATCTTTGTGCTTGTGTGACTGTTTTCTTCCCCACATCAGGGAAGTTTTCTGATATTAGTTCTTCAAATAGGTTTTCTAACACTTGTTCCTCTTCCTGTTGTTCTGGCACCCCTATTATTTTTATGTTGCTTCGTTTCATGTTGTTCCAAAGCCTTCCTTAAGCTCTCTTCCTGTCTTTTAATTTTTTTCTCCAATTGCAGTTCAGTTTGGGTGTGTTTTGCTTCCTTGTCTTCTAATTCGCTAATTTGGTCCTCTGCTTCTCCTAGTCTACTGTTGAAACTTTCCATAGTGTTTTTTATTGCAGCTATATCACTCTTTATTTCTTCTTGACTCTTAACGTAAGTTTTTGATTTTTTTCATCCATCTGGTTTATAAACTGTATGAGCCTTATTCTGAATTCTTTTTCTAACATATTGCATGCCTCCGTTTCACTTAGCGCCTTTTCTGGCAATTCCTCCTTTTTTTTCCTTTGGGGGTTTCTTTGCCCATTTTTTTTCTCTCACCAAAGGATCTAGGTGTCGAGTTGTGTGGGGGCTGCTCCTCAGGCGGCAGCTGGTCCTTGGGCGGTTGTGGCAGTGGCTACTCCTCAGTTGGCAGTGGCTTCTCTGGTGGGCGCTGCTTGCAACAGTGATGGCTCCTCTGGCTGGCGGGGGCAGGTTGCTCATGCAACTGCTGCACCTCGGATGGGGACAGGCTGTATGAGGCTGCTGTTCCTTGGAAGGGGGAAAGCTGCTCATGGTGCTACTGCTTCTTGGTTGGGGGCAGGCTGCTCACGCGACTGCTCACGTGGTCGCCGCACCCTGGGCTCAAGTGTTGGGCTGGCCAGAGGGGAGCTTGCTTTGGAACTCACAGGAGGACCTTGGGGCTTTTAAAAAATATTTACCCCTGATAGCTCATTGTACACACGCACACCCATCCCCAGCTTCCATTCCCTCCCTCCCAGGAATGAGGGAGCCACTGATATAGACAGAAGTGTATAACAGGTGTTTTGGGAAAGAAGGTTAAAAAAACTCTAACTACTTGAAATTAGATTGGATTCAAGCATGATCTCAAAAATGGTGAAATGGAAAAAGGACACTTTAGATAGGGAATATAGTTGATAGGCAAAAACATGAAGACAAAAAAATGTGTACATTTAGGGGAAGTAGGAGGATAAGGACAACTGAATTATGAAAGATTTTTAAGTACAGAGCAGAAGAGTAGAACTCATCACTATAAAGGTTTTTGCACAGGTATCTAACAATAAAGTGCCATTTCTGAAGGATGATTATTACCCTTAGATATGGAAGAAAAGGTTAGTTGTGGTAATAGAAGCTGGCTAAGGAAGTAGCTTTGGGAATAGATGACAGACTGTTCAAGAAAAATCTCAACAGAATGTGCTTAAGGACTGCATGTTAAAGAATGAAAGTGGGAGACTACTTAAATGAATTTAAGTTAACTTGGAATATTGACAGGAATTATAAAATGGACCTGCTAACTTTTGGAAGAAGGAGGATGGGAAGGAGTTGAATTTAGTTTTGAACATACTGTGTCTGAGTCATCTGTCAGATATTCTATTTTTATGAATATTCCATTGAGAAATACTGGACTTGGTTGAAAAGTCAAAATGGGAAGCAGGGAGGGGAAGAGAGAAAGAACTCCTTTATAGTGAGCAGAGGAAGCATTGAAACTGTGAGCATGAATTAACTTGTTAGTGTTTAGAATTCTGGTTTTATTTCTTTTTATGTAGACCATGGATTCTTATGATATCCCAGAAGTGACTCCCAGACGAAGTGCATCCTCAAGGCTTAAAGATCACTTTATAGGTGCCACCCCTCTGCAAAAGCAGTCAGAATCAGTCAAGAAGCTGACTTGATTTGTCCCACCTTCACCTCAAAGGAAAATTCCCCAATGTTCACAGTTGCAGGTATGCTTTTGTGTTACTCAATAATTGAGAATAGATGTGAACAGAACATCTCATTTTTTGTTACAATTTCTAGTACTTTTAGTATTTTCTCCATCCCTCAGGTAATAAAATAAATGAGAAACAGCAAAAAGGAAGTTATTCACACTGTCAGGAAGTACCTCCTTTGTTATGTCTTTTAAACCCTTTGATCTAGAACACTGCCACAATATTTCTTTGTCTTTTACGACATAGACATTTTTGAAGAGTATAGTTTTCTCCTTTCCCTTTTTAAAGTAGAATATGCCTTATTTTGTATTTGTGTGCTGTTTCCTCTCGGTGAGGTTGAAGTTGTGTATTCTTGGCTGGGATACTATATAGGTGCTTTGTGTCCTGGGAGAATGACATCTGGTACCACATAGGTAATGTTAATTTTGATCACCTGTCAAGGTGTTGCCCAGTAATTACTGTTTTAGTTCCCTCTGCAACTAATAAGCATCTATGGGGAGATATTTTAAGATAATGCAAATATCATGTTCCTTATCAAAATTTCCCCCTAGACTTAACATCCATTGATAATTTTTGCCTGACCCCATCTTTATCATGATGGTTGCAAAATAATGACTTTCTAATCTCCCTTACTCCATATTTACCAATCAGCTTTTGGCATTCTATTTTAAGCCCTTTTCTTTTCTCCTCCATTTGTTTATTGGAGACTTGAACTCATGAATTCCTGTTTTTCAAATTTTTGTAATTCATTACCAAGTTATTTTGGTGTTTAAATTGGCTCAGATTTATCTGGTGGCATCATGCTCTGTTTTGATCATTCGCACACGACCCTGACAGTATAAAACATTAGTAATTTGTAATTTTACTGAAACATGAAATAAAGCCCCAGGCAGTTTGGTGTGTGGTTTTGAGTCACTTAGCTAGGAACCTGGCTATCAGTCACTCAGACCTTCCTGGTAACTTTGTTTTCTTAACACTGTTGTGCGCACAGTATCTTTTGGGATATGAGAAAAGTTTTGCTTCTTTGTGACAACTTTCTTAAAGAAAAATTGCTAGTGCTGGTAATGAAAGTGATAGTTCCTAACCACTAAACAGAAACTGTATTAATTAAAGTTTGGAATGTCCAATTTAGTACTCCCTTATGTATATGATACAAAAAATTTTGCCATACCTTTTGCCTAGTAATAAGAAAAAAACATTATAACTTTTATATAAAAGTTTATAACTATTTCCATGAGTAACTTTGTCAGAACAAATGTTTTTGTAAATAGACAACTAGTGAAATTTCTAAAAGATAATGGTGAGACTATCTCACGAAGTATGAATTGTATAGAAAAATTCAATTCAGGATAAAACTAGGAAATATAGAGTGTCTGTGAAGACTCTTGCTCAGTAACGACATAGTGCCAATATAGTGTAGGTGAAGTGTTTTTTTAAAAATAAATTATATTTTTATTGATTTCAGAGAGGAAGGAGAGGGAGAGAGAGAAACATTAATGATGAGAGAGAATCATTGATCGGCTATGTCCTGCATACCCCCTACTAGGGATCGGGCCCACAACCTGGTCATGTGTCCTTAACTGGAATCGAACCTGGGACCCTTCAGTTTGCAGGCTGATGCTGTATCCATTGAGCCAGACCAGCTAGGGCTGCTTTTGTTTTTGATGGTACCTGTGGTTCTAATAGAGCATGGTAAAAATACTCCCAGGTATCTTTTTATTTAATCTACCAAATTAGGTATTGTGTCATAGAATGGCATAGTGTGCCAGGCACTTTTAAAAATTACTTAATTAAATCCAATAAAATTAGTTGCTCTAAGAATAATTATTTTCAAAATCTATAACTTGAAGTTTCTACAAGTGAAACATAAATTTTCATCCATTAATATTTATTGAACACCTGTTCTAGATGGCACTGCTCTAAGTCCTAGAAAGTAGTAGTGAATAAAATAGACAAAATTCATGATTTCATCAAACTCATTCTCTAGTAGGAAAAATAGACAGTAAAAGTCACACAAATTCTATATAATAAAAGCCTAATAAGCAAATCGACTGAATGGCGGAACAACTGGTAGGCAGGGGGTGGGGCTGGAGAGTGGGCGGCACCAGGCCAGCCAAGGCAGGTGCCAGTGGGCAGAGGGAGGGGACGGTGATTGGGGAGGCAGCGGCGACTGGCGGTGGCCGAGGGGCAATTGGGGGGGTGGTGCTGGCCGCTCACCGGCCAGTGCCGTCCCCCAATCGGCCTGTGGGTCACCTCTTGCAGAGGGAGGCCAGACTTTGGCTTAGGCCCACTCCTCTGAGGGCTTCTGCTCTGTGAGAGGGCGCAGGCTGGGCTGAGGGACTTCCCCCGCCCCGCAAGTGCACAAATTATCGTGCACCGGGCCTCTAGTATATAATATCAGATAGTCATAAATATAAAGCATGTTAGGAGTTAGAAAGTGACAAGTTGGAGTGGGTTCAGGTGCTACTTTAGGTACAGTGGCCTTTTGAGTGACATTTAGGCAAAGACCTGATTGAAGGAAAGGGACAGGCCAGGTACAACAAAAGCAAAGGCCTGTTTAAAGATCTTCAGAGTCCTACAAACTCCAGTTTGGCTGGAGTGCAAAGATCAGGTACCCAGCCATAGATTTATATTAAATACTATGATTAAATTCTTATTTACTAAGGTTTCCTAATTCTTAAACTTCATTTGCTGTGATCTTTTTTTTTTTTTTTTAGGAAGATGTTGATCCTCAAAAGGTTGCATTCCTTCTACATAAGCAATGGACTTTGTACAGTTTAACTCCCCTGTATGAGTTCTCCTACACTAATCTCAAAGAGTACTCTAAATTTCTGAGTGCATTTATTGTTGCTGAAAAGCAAAAAGGACTTGCTATGGAAGTGGGAGAAGACTTGAACATCAAAATGATTTTCTCTACTCTCCTAGGAATGAAAGCAACACAAAGGGACCCTGATGCATTTCTCGTCCAGGTATAGTATAGGCAATACTTGCTTGCTAGGGAAAATAATCTGCATTGTCTTGGTTTGGACATTGCGCTAATTGTTACAGTTTTTGAATTTTTTTTTTAAAATATATTTTATTGATTTCTTACAGAGAGGAAGGGAGAGGGATAGAGAGTTAGAAACATCGATGAGAGAGAAACATCGTTCAGCTGCCTCCTGCACACTCCCTATTGGGTATGTGCCTGCAACCAAGGTATATGCCCTTGACCGGAATCGAGCCTGGGACCCTTGAGTCCCCAGACCGACGCTCTATCCATTGAGCCAAACCAGTTACGGCAGTTTTTGAATTTCTTAAGCTTGTGATTTATAACCTCTTATGTCTTATTTGACCAAATTTAAAGTAGATAATGACCAACTTAAAAAATACTTTTTCTTATTACTTCAGGGTGGGGCAATACAGAGTAGGTTTATAGTTGTGAGTAGTGAAACAGAATTTATTCTTGTATTATTATTAATTATTGTATTTTCCATATGAACAACTGTAAACCTACTTTTGCCTCACCCTGTATAACATGTTTATTTTAGAAAACTTAAAAAATACATAAAGTACAAAGAAAGTTAAAAACCACAGTTCAGCATCTTGGTATACATCTTTTTGGCAGTAGATAATCTGAATAGGCCTATGTCTATTAAAGAAGTTGGATAAATAATTAATAACCTTCCAAAATAGAAAGCATCAGGTCCAGACAGGTTCGCTGGTGAATTCTACCAAGCACTTAAAGAAGAAAATAAACCAATTATCTATATTCTCTTTCAGAGGATAGAAGCAGAGGGAATACTTTCTAACTCATTCTGGGAGGCCAGCCTTACCCTAATACCAAAAACAGACTAAGACATTATAACAAAAGAAAACTACAAATCAGTATCCCTCATGAGCATAGACACATCCATTTAGCTATCTGTGTCTATTAAAAATTGGGATTATATTGCCCATATTTATTTGCATTATGGCTTTTTTCCTAATAATCAATGTTGAAGATAATTACTCATATCATTAGGAATTTTACAGGTTTATGATTTTTACTGGGATTAAATTCCTAGAAGTAGAATGTTAACAAAGAAAATATGTAACTTAGCCCAGCTTGTGTGGCACGATGGTTGAGCATTGACCTATGAACCAGGAAGTCATGGTTCCATTCCCTATCAGGGCACATGCCTGGGTTATGGGCTCAATCCCCAGTGTGGGGGCATGCAGGAGGCAGCCGATCAATGATTCCCTCTCATCATTGATGTTTCTCTCTCCCTCTCCTCTCTTCTCTGAAATCAATAAAAATATATATTTTTAAAAAGTAACTTATTTTTACATTTTGTGATACAGGTCAAGTTACTCTCAGAAATGTAACCTTTTACCTTCCTATGTGCAGTGTATAAAAGTAATATAACTAACTTGATTTATTCAGAAACTGAATTTATTTTATTCATGCCTGCTACTTCTGTTTCTGGGGTAACTCTTCTTAGTCATTGATAAGTTAAATTCTGAAACAGTTGAACAGACCTAATTTGTTTATTTGTTACACATCAGGGGTCAGCCAACCATGGACTGCATGGCCAAGTCTGACTCACGGCTTATTTCTGTAAATGAGGTTTTATTGGAGCAGAGCCCCTTTCATTTGTTTATGAATTTTCTATGGCTGCTTTTGTGCTACAATAGCAAAGCTGAGTATTTGCTATGGCCCACAAGCCCTAAAATATTTACTATTTGGTCCTTTACAGAAAAAGTTTGCTGAGCCATGGTATAGGTCATGGTATTTGAAAGGATCTCAAGATGCCTAGGATTAGATTCAGCTGCATATGACAGAAAGCTTAAATAATAGCAAATTAAACGAGATAGAGGTTTATCTCTCTTACAGAGGTGTACGTAGGTAAGCTATTCAAGGCTGGTATATATATGCTTTATGATATTATTAATAATAGGCCCCTTCTCTCTTCTCTCTTATCGTTGGTGTGTGGCTTCCATCCTTAAGGTGACTTTATAGTCTAAGATGGCTCTTGGAGCTCTAGATATATGCAAGTTTCCGGCAAAAATTAGAACGAAGATGGGAAGGGCCAACAGGATGCCTACCACCGCATAAATCTGTAATGAAACTTTCTGAGATCCAGGAACTTCTCTTTATTTTTTATTAAAATTTTTGTTGTTGTTGTTAATCCGCACCCGCGGATATTTTTTTCATTGATTTTTAGAGAGAGTGGAAGGAAGAGGGAGAGACAGAGAGAAACATCGATGTGAGAGAGACTCATCAATTGGTTGCTTCCTACACGTACCCTGACCAGGGCAGGGATACCTGCAACCGAGGTACATGCCCTTGACCAGAATTGAACCTGGGGCCCTTCAGTCTGTGGGCTGATGCTCTATCCACTGAGCCAAATTTTAAAAATATATTTTTATTGATTTCAGAGAAAGGAAGGGAGAGGAAGATAGAAGCATCAATGATCAGAGAGAATCATTGATAGGTTGCCTTCTGCATACTCCCTACTGGGGATCGAGCCCACAACCCGGGTATGTGCCCTGAGGGGTAATCGAACCATTACCTCCTGGTTCATAGGTCAATGCTCAACCCCTGAGCCACACCGGCTGGACTCATTTTGCTTTTCAATGTTAAAATTTTTCATATTTAAAATTTACCTAAATAAATGAAGCCCTAGTAAAATCCTCACCTGAGGACATGCTTAGAGAGAGTTCAAGCACATTGCATTTGGTGACCTTTTACTGCTCCTTCTAAAGCTGAGATCTTTTCCCCCTGATGCTGTACTTAGTTGTACCATATCGGTAGCTTTTATTTTGCATTTTGGTTGTACGAAGATCTTGCCATATACCGTGTCTCTAGTGTATAAGAATATTAGGAAGCCGCCTGTGCCGCTTGCTGAAGCCAGCGCTTCTGTGTGGTGCTCTTGCCGTGCCCGGCGTGGCCAGCACCATGTGCGCCTCCCGTGACGACTGGCGCTGTGCTCAGTCAATGCACGAGTTCTCAGCCAAGGACATCAACGGGCACATGGTTAACCTGGACAAGTACCGGGGCTTCGTGTGCATCGTCATCAACGTGGCCTCGCAATGAGGCAAAACAGACGTAAACTACACTCAGCTTGTCGACCTGCACGCCCGATATGCTGAGTGTGGTTTACGGATCCTGGCTTTCCCTTGCAACCAGTTCGGGAGGCAGGAGCCAGGGACTAATGCCGAGATCAAAGAGTTCGCTGCCGGCTATAATGTCAAATTCGATATGTATAGCAAGATCTGTGTGAACGGAGATGATGCCCACCCTCTGTGGAAGTGGATGAAAGCCCAGCCCAAGGGGAGGGGCATCCTGGGAAATGCCATCAAATGGAACTTCACCAAGTTCCTCATTGACAAGAATGGTTGTGTGATGAAGCAGTATGGTCCCATGGAAGAGCCCCAGGTCATAGAGAAGGAGCTGCCCTGCTACCCTTAGCTCCACAAGTGTGCACCCCCACATCTGAGCCCACTGCCTGCGCCCCGCAGAGCTTTCCACCCGGCACTCATGACAGTCTTTCTAAAATCCAGCCTGCTGGTGGGGCAGACCCGAGAACCCGGCGTGCACCTCTGCCGGAGGAAGGCCCCTCGGCCGGCCTGGCTCGCAGCTCTGCACCCCCACCCCTGGCTGCCTTGTGGGAATAAAACTTACAAATTGAAAAAAAAAAAAAGAATATTAGGAAAAAGGTCAGTGAACTTAATAAAACCTAATAATGATTAGGGACACTGTTCTTTGTTTTTTCATAAGTAATATAATGTCTTTGTAGTTTTAAACGTACTAATTAATTTTGAGGTGATGTAATTTAGGAGTAAATGTACTTTTAAACTTAATGAACCTGTTTTCTTTCTTTGTAGATTCTGTCAAAATCTCAATTGCCATCTGAGAACAGAGATGGTAAAGTGTTGTGGACTGGTTGGTTCTGCTGTATCTTTGGAGACAGTGTTCTGAAGACTGTTTCAGAAGACTTCACCAGTCTACCCTTATTCCTTGCAAATGAAGCAAAGACTAATTCAGCCTTAATTGGAACCTGGTTTCAGAAATCTTTTGGCTGTCATTTCAGTCCCTTAGCAATCAATGCGTTTAATCTTTTCTGGATGGTGGCTATGTAGACTGCATGCAAAATGGACCATTATGTAGCTACTACTGAATTTCTTTGGTCTATAGTACCATGTAGCCCTCAAAGTCTGGATATTTCTTATGCCATACATCCGAAGGATGCAAAAGCTTTGTAGGACAGTGTCGACAAAGCCTCTGGGAGAGTTTCCCATCAGGAAGTTGACTTGTTCATAGACTGCCTTTGTTCACATTTCCAAAGGCATTTCAAAATTCACTTATCAGCCACAAGATTTGTTCATGTATCAACATCTGTAGCTTCAGCACACACTAATGGAAAAATAAAGGTTAGTTTGAACAAATCTAATTAAGTAATTTTTCTTATTGTTGCATAGTTTTCAAAATGTATGGTGATTGTGTTTTCCACATGGACTAAATAAACTTAATGTCTGCCAATAGAGACATTTTATTTTATGCTTTATAAAAGATTTATAAAAATGTTTAGCCTTTTTGATTCAGCTTTTTTATAAAAAAATTCATTTTTAGAGAGAGGAAGGGAGAGGGAGAGAGAGAAACATCAGTGTGAGAGCAAAATATGAACTGTCTCCTGCATGCCCCCTACTGGGAATTGAGCATGTGCCCTGACTAGAAATTGAACCAGCAATTTTTCAGTGTACAGGATGATGCCCAACCAACTGAGCCACCCTGGCCAGGGCTTGATTCAACTTTATTATGGAAGGATACTATGTGTTGTGTGCTACAGATTTTGGAAATCATATGAATTACTCTGTAGTAACTTTGAAACTTTCCAAATAGTTTCTTGTCAAACTTTGAAGTAATAATCAGATAACAGGATTTTATGTTAGATAAGGAAATTATAGCCAGAAACATATAACTAAGATAATCATTTTCATATTTTAGGCTTTTCTATTCCTGCTGGAAAAGAAGTAATAAAGACAGCCCTGACCGGTTTGGCTCAGTGGATAGAGTGTTGGCCTGCGGACTGAAAGGTCCCAGGTTTGATTTTGGTCAAGGGCATGTACCTTGGTTGCAGGCACATCCCCAGTAGGAGGTGTGCAGGAGGCAGCTGATCAATGTTTCTCTCTCATCGATGTTTCTGGCTCTCTATCCTCTCCCTTCCTCTTTGTAAAAAAATCAATAAAATAAGATAAAGGAAGTAATAAAGACATTGTTTTACTGTTCATGAAGTCCTTATTAGAGTAAGTATGAAAAACCAATTGAAAGTAGGCCCTTAAGTATATTCAAATGTTAATATATTTAAAATATATTCATATACAACCACCATAAACACTCAGTGAATACTGGCTTTGTCACTGTGCTAGGAGTTTAACATACCTTAATTGTAATCTGTTAGCCAGGTTTCTGCCATTTACTTTGTTTTTATAAGATACTTTTGGAATTCATATATATATGTGTATATATATATATATATGTATATATATGTATATGTGTCTTGAGAAGAAGGAAGCTATGCACCTCCTTCTAGAAAATGTAAATACTCAATGTGTATATAAGTTCAAGGGGTTCAGAGATGCCCTTCCTCCCCTCACTATTTAGGCAGAGAGTTAGCCCAAGCACGGAACTCAGGATAAATAAGCACCCTAGTCTAATTACTTCTAAGCACCATTGACCATAGTTGTGAATTTATTAGACTTAGAGCAGCAATGCTTTGTTTTCATATTCATATCTTAGCTTGCAGATAGGGAATTTAAAATAATCCTGGAATATTTATCAAATACAAACTACTTTATTATCATAATTCTATTTTAATTTTAAATGTTGTCCCTTTTTTTTCTTTTCACAAGATTTGTTCATGTATCAACATCTGTAGCTTCAGCACACACTAATGGAAAAATAAAGATTCTGTGTCATAAATGCCTTATTGGAGTGTTGTCATATTTGACAGAACAGGCAATTTTTCTAATTGAGTGAGGCCTTGTGGGGATCATAGGTCATGGAATATATACCTTTTTCTCATTGATTATTTGACTAATTGTTATGCTGAGAAGGGACTGCAGCAGAAATGGGCATCCTTCTCTGCATTTGTTTCCTCACAGTGCCTTTGGAGGTACCCAGTAAGAGACAAGAAGGATCTAGAACAGAAGATGGTAAGGGATGAACCACAGCCAGGTGCTTCTGTAATAGTCATGATGATCAAGGGTGCCAATCTCTAGAAAATGCTGAATTGTTATTTGTTGGCCATCTTTCTAAAAAATATGTAATGTTTAGTATGTCAAACGTTTAGGGTTCAAATGAGATAGCTCTAATCTTCAGTATTTCTGATTTGGGTCTCTAAAACTTTCAATCCCTTGTAAACATTTTACTTGCATTAAGAGAGAATTTCTGTCTTGTAAAGACATTTTCCTAGCACAATTTTGCTGTAGAGAACTAGCAATCAAAAAATCCTCTGCAAAGGAAACTAAAAATGAATATGGATTTTTTAAAGCCACTAATATGCTTCTGCTTTTAATATTATTCAGTTCTTATTGCAATGTTGAATTAAATGTATTCACTTTTAAAATGAAGCAATGTCTTGGTGACAGATTTTTAATTAATGTTTCAGGAATGGGAAGTCATGGGCTTTTTTCTCTAGCACAAAGGTTACAAACCAACAATTACAGAGAGTCATAAAAATTACACATATGGAAGGCAGAGATTTTCTTCATGTCCCCAATTTTGCTTTAGCACAGTGCTTGGTAAATATCTGTAGATAAAATGAATGAAATTTAATCAATTCTTCCATTTTGCAGATGAAATTTACCAACTTTAGAAACTTGCCCTAGAGGTTATATGTAAACCTCTTCTTTTTACTGAGTATAGAAAAGTTTTGTTTTACTTTAGAAACCATGTTTTTAAAAATCTTGTTTGGAAGAAAATAACTTTAATAGGCTATTAGTCTAAAAAAAAAACCAAGTTTCTGGAGTGTGGCATTGTTTTACGTTAGGAACAGGAGAGGTAGTAGAAAAAGCATGGGCTTTGGAGTCAGACATTCATTCATTCAATATTAAGCTCCTACTGTGTACTTAGTATTGGGTAATGGGAATATAGCAGTGAAGACAAAAAAGATCCCTGCACTGTGGAAATTATATTCTAATGGAGGAAGGCAGAAGATAATTTCATATAGAGATAAACACAATAAAGTAAATAAGGCAGTGAGATGGAAAAAAGGATGAGTGGGATGGGCCTACTTTACTTACAGTTATCAAAGAAAGGCTCTCTGAGTAAGTGACAGGGGAGCTGAGTCCTGAGTAAGGAGCAGGAACTAGCCACATGAAGACCTAAGGACAAGTGTGCTAGGCAGGTGACACTGCAGGAGTGAAGGCCTTGGAACAGATAAGGGCTCAATTTGAGGAACAAAGGGAATCGCGTGCCTGAAGCACAGTAAGAGATGGAACTGAAGAGACTGCAGCAGAAACTTCTTCCATGGTGCTATGACTCTCAACTTTTGGCTGGGCACATGGCTGCCCAGAAACAGGATGACATTTTCCAGCCTTTCTCAGAGGTTTCTAAGTTCTGACCCATATAAGTGGAAGCGTTATGTAGAGCTTCTAGGAATCTTCCTTAAAACACAGCAGGCATGTACCCCTTGCTCTTTTCTTCTTCCAACTATGCTGATTGGCACACATGTAATGACTGGTACTCTAGCTGCTCTTTTAGGTCACAAGGATGAGGGTCAGGTCCTAAGGACCAGGAAACATGGCCTGGAAGGAGTTTGTGCCCTGAGGACTTTCTAAAATATATGTATTTTTATTGATTTCAGCCTCCTGCATGCCCCCTACTGGGGGTCGAGCCCGCAACCTGGGCATGTGCCCTTGACCAGAATTGAACCCGGGACCCTTCCGTCTGCAGGCCGATGCTTTAACCACTGAGCCAAACCTGTTAGGCAGGATTCCCATCATCTCAGTTTTCATAGGTACTGTGAAGAAATTGGATTTTATCCTAAATGCAATGGGAAGACCCTGAAGCAGGAGAGTAATATGACCCACTTTATATTTTATAAGTTATTGTAATACAGGGAGAAATTGTAGGGAGACAAGAGTGGAAGAAGGAAAACAGTTAAAGGGGTGTTAGAAATGGTACAGACCCTATGGAGAAGTTAGTGTATAGTATGCTCTCCTTTATAGAAGTAATGGAGGAATATGTGTGTGTATTTCCTTATGTTAAGAAAGCAACAATGGAAGGGACAAGTCAAAAACTAATAAAAGTGGTTACTAATAGAAAGGAAGAAATTGGGGAGAGGAGACAGGAATGAAAGCCTTAGTATCTTAAGGCTTCTTTGAATGTTCCATTTATAGTTTGGAACCATATAAGTGGTTTATATAGCTATAAAACAAAATCAGATCCAAAAGGGGAAAAAAAGCAATCCTTAAAATTGAAAACAAATGAACCTAAATATATATGAAGTTCATGCTATAATCACACAAAGAACTATTCTTACTATCTTTACTACTATTTTGTGCATCGTTAGTGGTCTATATCCTAGGAAAAGAAGAGCAGCAAAGGAATATTAAATGTCATTCAGTTATATTTTTATTAATATTGGTATTTTACCAATTATTAAGATGAAACATAATTATAACAATGTTAGGAACCAAGTTTTACAGTGTAAAAGATACACAATTATAATATCAGGTAAGCTAAGTAGAAACTATACTACTAAATTTTAATTGGAAATATCAGAATGAGCTCATTTATTTTTGAAATGCAAAAAAGTTTTAAATATTGATGTTTATCAATGTTTTTATTGTCCTTCTGCTGTCATCTAAGAAATCATCAGTCCTGAAGTTTATTCTTATGTTTTCTTCTATGGATTTTTATAATTTTAACTCTTAACTTTAGGTTTGTAATCCATCTTGTGTTAATTTTTATGTGTGGTGTGAGGTAAGCATCCAAATTCATTTGACATATGGATATCCATTTGTCCCAGCACCATTTATAGAAAAGATTATTTTCCCATTGAATTGTCTGTCACCTTTCTTAAAAATCAGTTGGCTATAAATGTTTATTTCTGGATTCATTGATTTATAATATGTCAGTTCTCATGCCTATACCACACTGACTTGATTACTGTAGATTTGTAGTGTTTTTTAAAATCAGGAAGTATGACTTTTCTAGCTTTTTTCAAGGTTGTTTTGGCTATTCTGGGTCTTTCACATTTTTATAAGAATTTTAGCATTTGTTGGTCAATTTCTGTAAAACAGCTTTGATTTTGATAGTGATTGTGTTGAATCGGGGAGTATTGTCATAATTATATTAAGACTTCCAATCTATGAACGTGGGATATTTTTCCACTTATTTAAATCTTTCAAAATTTTCTTCAACGAAGTTTTATAGTTTTCAGTATACAAATATTGCACTTTGTTAAATTTATTCCTAAGTATTTTATGCTATTGAGACTAGAATTGTTTTCTTAATTTCATTTTTGGACTGTTTGTTACTATTGCACAGAAATACAATTGATTTTATATATTGCTCTTGTATCCTATGGTCTCACTAGAGTTGTTTACGTTAGTATTTTCAGTGAATTCCTTAGGATTTTCTATATACAAGATTGGTGTCATTTGTGAATAAAGCCAGTTTTATTTTTTAATTGCAATCTGGATGTTTTATATTTCCTTTTCTGTGCTAACTTGCCTTGGCTACTCTTCAGTATAAGAAATAGATGGTAAGAAAGTACGTCTTGTTTCTGATGGTAATGGGAAAGCATATTTCACTGTTAAATATGATGTTAGCTGTAGGTGTTTCATAGGTGTCCTGTCAGGTTAAAGACGTCCACTTCTATTTCTGATTTGTTGAGGGGTTTTTATTATGAATGGATGTTGAATCTTGTCAAATTTATTTTTCTGTATCTATTGAGATGATTCATAACTTATTACTCAAAACTACACTCTTTACTTCTGGTTTCTAGTTTCATATGGAAGGAGGTTGGAAGTTGCCACTCTATCCTGAGCAATAAGTAAAAAGAACAGATGGAAAAGTCAATGACTCTTTTTAGGTCCCTAAGAGAGGGGAGGACACAGGGCGAATTGCTGCCCCCAAGACTGTAGAGACAAACAGGTGAATACAGGGAGTCATGCTCACTGGAGCAGAAACTACGTGGGAACCAGAGCCAGGGGTAAGCAAACCAGAGCTGTAATTAATGAAATGCTGGAGGCTGAGTGTGGACAAATCTGCGAGTTAAAAACCCCAACGGCCCAGTTATAGTGTTGAGGAAATCACTATGCAAGTAAGTTGTAATAAACCTGGCTCCAATGAACACTGGCCAGTAATGTAGTTCCTGGGTCTCTGTTCTTGAATCACAGCCATATGAATCGTTCCCATTGGGGAATTCCCTATGTATAAAGAGTCTCACCTCTTGAATTTAGTTCTTATCATTCTCCTTTTCTTCCAATATAGGTAATACTCTAGTATTGGGAAATAGGTGATTTTGCCTTGAAGACTGGCTGTTAACGATGCAGTACTGTAAGGATCTCGTATTTTTTATACTTTTTCAATGTTATTAACCAGTTAAATAAGGTTTGTTAGTGTATTTAGTTTCAGGCCGTTTCAGGTTGCCCTGCAGAGGCAATGGGGCACAGAAAGAAATGGAGTGGGAGTTTGGGCAACTGATTTCTAAAGTTGGTTTTATCATTGCCTGCTTACTCTACGGAAGGGATTTCTGGGTTTTCACTCTTAAAGCAAAGAAACAAATGGGTCTGGAATAGATGAATTGTTGAGTCCTTCTAGCTCCAAATTCTATGATTCTAAGTCCTATACTAGAAAACAAGTGTATAGGTTAGGTAATATATTAAATATTTATAATTAAATTATATAAGAGTTAAATATATTAATATAAACATTGTTATATATATATATTAAACTTTTATATGTCTTTATAAAATACAACTTATAATTCTAGCTAGCAATCCCTTTTTCTTCAGATTTATTAACTTTATATAAAGGAAATATAAATGATATAGAAACAACATATAAATAGTAAAGACACAAGGATTAAAAAACATTAACCAAACTTTTTTTATGGTAAGTACTCTTTATTTTAAAAAGTTATACATGCTAGAAAAAAGCATAAATGATACACGTAAACAATTGTTTACCAAATACTTTTCCTTGTAAAGGTGCAAATGATTTTTAAATGTAAACACAAAAGTTGCCAAATATTTTTTTGCGGGGAGAAGGTTATTCCTTCCTGCAGAAGGTCTATGAACACAATGACAAAATATTTCAACCACTGAAATTTTTAGCATTTTCTCCTTAAAACTTTTTAACTTTTCTTCAAAAAGTGCAATGTGAGAGTAGTAGCAGTGACTTTATAGAATGAGGAGGATAATAATATATAGCTGTATAAAAGAACCAAGATATTAATAAAATGCCTCAGCTGGTTTTACACCCCTTCCCATGTACTATCACGTGAACTGAAAAATTCATTCCTTGGCAGCTGTGATTACAGTTAAGCCTCAGCTTCAGCAGCCTGAGTATCAAATGTAAGTTTTACAACAATTCACTGCTGGGGAGAGCACATTTCTCCCTGCTGGTCCTTGGTAGCAATATGCAAATCAAAAGGAAAGTTGCTTCAGTCAGTCGGTAATGTTTTAGAGTAAAAACATGCAGAGTTGCACATGATTCTCAAGACAGTACGTGAGAATCGCATACTGTTTTGTAGAGGCACACAGTAGGGCTCTAGATCTAGCAGACACTATAAAATAGTGGGTAGAAAAAACTTGAAATGTAGCAGAAAACAAGGTCATACGGAAGGAAACAAGATGCAAAGTTCCACTGATGAAAACTTTGAGTCCTGGTTTTATTGATTTAATACTTTTTAAAAAGATTTTCAAGTCTTCTGGTGCTTAGTGCAAGAATGATAGCTAACTTAGACACTTTGCATTCTGATCTTTGTCACTGGTAGTCCTTGTAAGGAGTGGAATCGTGGATGGAGTGCCTAGAAATAACAGCTAGATCATAGATAGCCCTATTCCCCTTATTAACATTTTCAAACTTAGTATCTTAAAATTTCAGTGCTTGGAATTTTTTATTTTGGTTGGGAGGAAAGCTAAAAAAACAACCATGATAAATTAAAATCAAAAATAAATATTCTGCACAGAACTGAACATTATTGTGCAAAGATGGCATCCTACAGGTGAAGTACTTTTTGTTTGTGTTTCCATAGTTGAGGCACCGGCAAAGAATAAAATTTGTTCGTGTTTTCCCGAGCTTAGAAAGCTACAAAGTCAAAGCGCTCCAGAATACAGCAGAGCATACACACAGCTGTCTTCTAGACGTTCACCATATGTGGGACTCACAATGCGTCATTTTAATAACTCCTACTCCACCCCCCAGCCGACGGTAATTCATCCCGCCATATAACCTGTAAAGAAAGAAAATCTGATTTCTAACTGGAAAAAAACACCATTGTCTCTGTTTTAGATCACAATATTTTTAGCTTTCAAACTTCGCTTCCAAAGATTAAGAGCTGGAATTGAGCACTGGCAAGTGGTGGAATTATTTTAGATGCTGACTGAAATGCTACAACTTAGAGGGGACTGTTTTAAGAATAAAAGTAGATGGGGCTTTTATATCTACTTTTTGCATCGTGACTTTACACCTAGACTGTGTCTAATTTTTGTCCTGGCTGTATTATTTTCCCACCCATGTTTCCTTTTGCCTAACCTTCATGAATTAGTTTTTACTGATTTTAGAGAGGGAGGAATATTGAGAGAAACATCATCAATCAGCTGCCTCCTGCACACCCTCTACTGGGGATGGAGCCCGCAACCCAGGCATGTGCCCCTGACCAGAACAGAACCCGGGACCCTTCAGTCTGCAGGCCGACACTGAATCCACTGAGCCAAACCAGCTAGGGCCGTTTGTACGTACAAACCCTTCATGGAACAAAACTGGACGTAAGTAATTAAAGTCAGCATCTAGTTTGTGACATGTAAACAAGGATTTCTATGGGAAAGAATATTAACACCAGTTTTCTCATGGCTGGCAGAGGAGTTAAGTTGGGGATCTATAACTACTATATTTAGTTATCTTTCAACAGATAATTCTACTTAGTTATTGAGAAACAAGTCCTTACATTAAGATCATAGTGATTAAGAGGCAGAAGTAAATGTCTTACTCAAATTCCCACTAAAGTTAGAAAGCTGTATGTGGAAGGAAATATACCCCTATTCATGAAAATCTGCCATTATATCTCCCTTACCTGTACTAGGCTTTGCTAGATGTTACCTTTGCAGTGAGGACTTCCTGAGCCACCCTTTACAATGGACATTCCAGCCCCCTCCCCACAATGCCCGCCCCCTGCAATGGCACTATGTCTCCCTCCCTCATGTCAGCTCCTGGAGGGCAGGGAGTTCTATTTTGTTCACTTTTGAATTCCCAGGGTCTACAACACTCGGTGCATCTTTACTTAATGAACAAGGTTGAAGCAAAAAGGGCTACAATGTCATTAGTTGGGCTTAGCCTTACAGAGCCAGGAAAGAGATGCAGAATTCAAAGAATGTCACCTAAATATCTGTGAAAACGGGCTTTTCTAGAGATGAAGACTAGACAAAGAACTCAGTAAATTCATTAGTTGAATCTTATAAACATGAAAAATCTGGGTGGGTAGCTACAGGCACAAAATTAGAAAATGTACACTTAGAACAACAGGATGGGCTATGAGACTGCCCCTTTTGGAGTAGTGGCTATAAAACAGACCTCAGCTGACCTTTCACAGCCATGAGAAAACCTTTCAGGATGTCTGCTGCCTCAGATCTCATGTCGACTGATACCTGTGGTTGATGTGCAACCTCAACCACTGAGATGCCTACCCTAGAATTTGTTTAGGCAAAGAAGCTCACATTTATTGAAAAACAGGCCTCAAATTGTGTGGAAGGTAAAACTTTCCTTAAAAGGCTGGTATGAAGTACGTCAAACTATCAGTATTGATATTTTTGTTAAATTTGAGAATTAACTATATTTGATATTTTAATATGCCAGTGTTTCTTAAACATAAGAACTTAAAGTATATCAGATTAATTTGTGAATCAAATGTAAAATATGTGATTAAGTAGATTTAAACCCATGATTTTAAGTTTAGAGGTTTAAGACAATTTTGCTAAATTTGTAAGCGTTTTGAGTATTTAAAATAAATGCATGAGCCACCTGATTTATGTGAATTTATAAGAACCACTTAAGTCCTTAGGATTTGTTAGACAATTAAAGATTTAAAAGCAAAGTAAAATTAAACCTTAAATAAAATATAGCCTCCTCCTAAAAGTGACTTAAAATATATTATTCTATTTTAAAGTCTAGTAAATTTTAAATAGATTTTAAAAGCTCAAGGAAAAAATACTGGTTTAAAATTTTTTTTTTAAAGTAATTGCAGTTTGTTTTTACTGGACACCGAAAAACTGCACTGAGAGACAAAGGTCAAGGTTCTAAGTGGAACTCGGTCATTTACTTTCTCTGTGCCTCCTTTTCCTCTGCTAAACGATGGGCCTAGAGAGACACCCCACCCCCGTTTCTGTCTTCTCAAGTATAAATCTGGACAGTTACCAAGAAGAGTTTTGTAAGATGCCAGCCACTTTAAAGCAATTAAGTCAAAATAAACCACCAAATATGGGTAACTTCAGCCCTCTTCAAAAACTGCAAGAGGTAATTCAAGGCAGCAGTGAGTGATTCACAACATAGCTGAAAAGTTACCTCCATGTATTGGCATCAGGATCAAAAACTTCAATAGTCTTCAAGTATGTTGTGCCATCAAAACCTCCTACAGCCATGAGTTGTCCATTCACCACCGCTAGGCCAACCTGTAGACAGAAACACAGTGTCTGCTAAAGAAACTGATCCCTGGGAAAATGCAGAATGGTTTCTAGATAAATCTCTTTAAGATAATTCTTTATGGCCTTACCTTCTGGTTTGCTTGATTTGTTTTGTTTGTTTGGTTTACTTATTATTTAATAGATTTTTGTCTGTGTTAGAGGAAAAAACAAAAATCTATTAAATTACGGGAACTAGAAAATTATATTCAATTAGGATATTAACAGAGTTCAAAACATATTAAATTTTAGAAAAAGCATTCTCTGGGAGTGAACCAGAACCTTCAAATTGCTCTATTTTTTTGGTATTTGCCTGTTCTAATCCACTATCTAAACTGCCACGAAAGTTAACTTTAAACCAATGCTGCAGTAATACTATATTGATTCTAGTCCCAGAAAATGCCGTACACTTCACATCTCTATTCTTTTGCACATGCTCCCCGGCTGCTGTTTTCCTTCCTTCTTCTAGAACATCTATTCTTTCATGAACTAGTTTACATGTGCCTTTCTCTGATGAGTCTCTTCACTGCCCCCCAAAGCAGTAAGCCTATTTGCCCATGCTCTCCTCTAATGCACAGGCCACTACTATACATTGGTCTTTTATCATTAGCTGCAAACATTTTCTTTCACTAACCTGGAAGCCCTTTGAGGGGAGGAATCATATCATACTCAATTTTGCTTTCCCAGCACACAGTAAATATTTGCTAAACAAGTGCAAGTAAAATCAACAGAATGTAGCAGTGAAAACAGCAGGACTGTAACTAGACACTGTTGGGTACCAGTAATAAAGAGCCACAGCTACGTGAATGCTTTGACCTGTTGAGCCATGCAGTGGTGTTCCCCGATTCGTGCAAACCACAACTGACTTTTATCCTCAGGTCATGGAGCCTTCAGCCACTGCTGGGTTCTCCCACCTGTTGTGCTACATGGATGGACTCCTGACAGGGTCTGGTTTATGAGTTACATCTCACTCTTCATCCAGCCGATGTCCTGGATGGATGAAGTCTAGACCCACCGAGGAAGTCTCTGTAGTCACTGGTCATCCATGGTCTAGAATAGCGGTTCTCAACCTGTGGGTCGCGACCCCTTTGGCGGTCAAACGACCCTTTCACAGGGGTCGCCTAAGACCATCCTGCATATCATATATTTACATTACGATTCATAACAGTAGCAACATTACAGTTATGAAGTAGCAACGAAAATAATTTTATGGTTGGGTCACAACATGAGGACCTGTATTTAAAGGGCCAGAAGGTTGAGAACCACTGGTCTAGAATATGACAGGCCAGCCCAATCTGGCCTATACTATAAATGCGACAGACGTAAACCAGTTTGTGGAGACTAGTGGTGGGGCCAGACGTATTTCTGTCAGAACATTTATACTGGCATGCGAATTCCTTAGAAATATTAGGTAGAAATATTTAGCCTTAATAGATATCGGATGAATATGGGTGAAGTTAGATGGTGGTAGATAAGACAGGAAGATGCCTTTCAGATGCAACTTATACTAAATCATAAAAAATAAATCATAAATCTCTAATGATATATCTAACTACTTGAGACAACAGCAATCAAAATAAAATTTTCCCCGGTATAGAAGTGCAGGGATTGTTTTGCCTGACCTGCATCTTCGCACTGTCCTGTGTTATGTGTTGCACGTCAAGAGTCCTGCACAGCCCTCTCTTGGTTCTGGATTTTCAAAGTTTTTAGTAGCTTGGCACTTACTCCGCTACGGCGGGATGTCATAGCCACCACCGGAGACCACTGGTTAGTTCTGGGGTTGTATCTCTCCGCACTGCTGAGCTCTGTGGTGTCGTCTCTGCCTCCCACAGCATAGATCATGTCCTGATACACTGCACAGCCCAGGTGTTTCCTGCGGGTCCCCATGGGGGCGATGGTGTGCCATCTGTTCTCCTGAGGACTGTAGCGCTCCACTGCAGGGAACAGAAAAGCCAGCATTTCCTCTCCCCTCTAGTTTCCTGCACAGCCACTGAAACTGTGATTACACACATACATTTTCAATAAGTACTCTGATTTTGCTTCTGTGAAGGACTTGTATGCCATTGGACAACAGCGCTACACTCTCATCAGGGGCTGGTGTCTTCCAGGTATGGTGTGGTGGAAAGGGCGGGCGTTGGAGTCAAGGTACCTAGTTGTAGTTCTGACTGTAGGACTCATTGGCTGGGTGACTCTTGGCCTCACTCTCTTATCTTTAAATGAGGGCATTAGAGTACATGATCTGTAAGCATCATTTTGTACTAATAATTTATTGTCTTAGACAACTCTACCTTGTACTCTCTTGCCTCTATTCCTACTACATTTTAAGCCATTGAAAAGATATTTGACAATGAATATATCTGAGTGCCACATGTTTAGAAATAGAAAGGACTAACACATAAACCAGTTTATAGCTATAAGTTTTTACTCTGACTTTGATATAGAGCAGCGGTTCTCAACCTGTGGGTCGCGACCCCTTTGAGGGTTGAACAACCCTTTCACAGTGGTCGCCTAAGACCATCGGAAAACACATGTATAATTACATATTGTTTTTGTGATTAATCACTATGCTTTAATTATGTTCAATTTGTAACAATGAAATTGGGGGTCACCACAACATGAGGAACTGTATTAAAGGGTCGCAGCATTAGGAAGGTTGAGAACCACTGATATAGAGGGTTTTTTTGGTCTTCTAAGGAGAGATGGTTGGGGGGAGGGAACTAGTCATATTAAGAAAATAGTTCTTTTATTCATCATAAATTCCCAGCAGCTTGGAGAAAGACATATTTTGAGAATATACAAGACGACTCTGGTTGCCCAGGGAGCTGAGGAGGAGCTAAGAGTTGCCCTCCCCTAGAGGGAAAATAATTTTTCCAATAAATTACAGGGTATGCCTGACTTTTATACTTTTTAAAAAATATGTTTTGATTTTTTTTTTTTTTTTAAGAAAGGAGAGGGATAGAGAGATAGAAACATCAGTGAGAGAGAAACATCGATTGGCTGCCTCCTTGCACACGCCCCTCCTGGGGGCCGAACCCACAACCTTGGCATGTGGGTTGACACTCAACCACTGAGCCACACCAACCAGGCACCCGACATTTATACTTTTTGTAGGGAGACTCTCCAAAGGAAAACGTGTTGCTTTTGGAGAAGCAGACTGACTCTGGAAGGGACCAACCTGTGTTGAGTGGGGATGTCCCGTCAGAGCCACCTACGGCATATAAGAAGCCGCCTAGCACAGCCACAGCCACGCCTAGCCTTCGGGTGCTCATGGAAGCCACGCGGGTCCATTTGTTCTCCTTTGGATCATACCTGCAGTGAGAGAAACCACAGACTACATGCATGTTTCCAGTAAGTGATATCTTTTTCATAAGGTGTGAAATGACCGAGATGCTGGAGGCATGGACATGCGATGGTCAAATGCACAGTGCGAATCTAACACACTTCACTAGTTTTACGGGGAAAAGCTCTCAGACCCAGTGCCTGTGTCAGTTATGAGCTATTTTGCACTCTGACTTCTGATGCCACGGCTAGTGCTCTGACAAAGACACTGTCCTTTGCCACGCTATCAGATTCTGCCAAAAGGAAGGACTAGACACTGGACATCGAGGTAGAGGCCAACGGTTCTATTAACCATCCTGTTTTGTGGGGGGCACAAAGAAGCCCCCCACAACAAAGTATCTGGCCCAAAATGTCAGTCGTGCTTGATGCTGAGAAACCCCCTTCTAAGTCCTTCAGATCTAGCTGTAGGTCCCTTGCATTTGTTCTATAATGGGAAAAAGCAAAACCCTTCTTAGCTCCACCTGTTCATACATTTCCCCCCTCACGCTTTCTAATAAACACGCATTGGCTATTGGCTGTTCTTGGCGCTATCAGACTTCAACAACTGCTTTTCCGTTTTCTCCTGCACAGACAATATCATGCAGGTCTTGTGCCTACTGGTAGTTTGCTTTGCTTATTTGTGTTTTGGAATTCATGGGGAGACCCTTTCCCCTAATTTATTTTAAATGTCCACAGGGTTTTGTTTTTTTAATTGTGGTAAAATATACATAAAATTTACCACTGTAACCATTTTTAAGTGTTGAAAACATTCACATTATCATGCAACCAAGCTCCATACTTTTCCATAGTTTTTTAGCTTTGCTATCGGTTGCTGTGTTTATTTTTATGTGGGAATTTGGAGAGATTAAAAAATTATGCTATTACTCCTGTTATCTTCCCAGAATCCTCTTGCACAGAATTTTTAAAAGTGAAGAAATAAGTTTATTGACAGATAGCATAGCTTTTAAGAGTTACCTACAATTTTAAGATGGAGTTAAACTCTTCAACGTAAGCAGGTAACCCAACTCAAATGCCATTTCAAAAAATTCTGGAGTCATGAGCATTTCTTTTTAAGAAATAAGGATGAAATATGGCTATGTTCTTACCAGTAATCATAGCACATGAGACTCCAAATCTAATCGCTAAGACAGAGCAAGAAAAAACTGATGGGGCAGGGTATTAAAAACAGAATCCATTAATTTTCACCAAAATTAACGGATTTGTAAAAGTGTAAAGTAAACCTTGGCATCTGCCCAGATTTCCCTTAGTAACACAAGAATTAAGGAGACTCCATATACAAAATATTGGGAGTCCTTATAAGATGTGCTAGACAAAGAATGATTGCTTTAATTATTTTTCTGAAAGAAGTCCGGGCAGTCTTACATTCAGTATACTGGGAAAAGACAGCAGATTTCAGAAGTGGTATGCTTGATATCCTATATAGAAGGCAATTTTAAAATGATCCCAACACTTTAATGTTAGGCTCATCAGCGGAGCACATAGTTTAAAAAAACCAAGATAATACCTTTCATCTTCCTAGACTTTAAGATCAACTGAAAACGTTTTCCTTAAAGCCCATGGGAAAAGTACCAAATAGTGGATCCCATAGTGTCCTAAATTGCTTCTTTTAAAGAGCCCTCTATATACCTTTTATTTTTTAAAATGTATCTGTATTGATGAAAGTATTATAGATATCCCCTTTCTTCCCCCACATTGACCCCCTCCACTCTACCCCCTCCAGGCCTTCACTGTACTATTGACTGAGTCCATGAATTAGGCATATCCTATGTAATAAAAGCCTAATATGCTAAGTGTCCGATCTCTTGACTGTTCGACTAGTCACTATGACCTGCACTGACCACTCTGATTGGTAGGTTAGCTTGCTGCTGGGATCCAGCCAATTGGGACTTGGTGAGCTGGGTTGGACACGCCCTGGAGCCCTCCCGTGGTCCCTCCCCGGCCTGATCCGTGCACCAGTGGGGTCCCTCAGCCTGGCCTGCGCCCTCTTACAACCCAGGACCCCTTGGGGAATGTCGGAGAGCTGGTTTCGGCTCAATCGCTGCAGGCCAGGCCAAGGGACCCTCATGCACAGAGCCTCTAGTATGCAAAGTTCTTGGTTAATCTCTTCCCACTCTCCATATGCCTTTTAAAACTTGAAAATAAATTGGGGGGAAAAAATCACCTCTCAACAATGTTGAGGCAAGACACACCATCCTGGCCACCGACAGCATAAAGAAATCCTCCAAGCACTGCCACGCCAACACTTGTCCTGCAGGTGCTTGTAGGAGCCACATCACTGCTCCACTGGTTTGTTTTGGGGTCATACCTGCCGAGAACATCAAGAGCAGAGTTTGTCTTACACAAAGAAAGTATGGCTATGTTCACATATTCACTGACAAATAATAATATATATGTTCTTTCCCCTAAATATGACTAATAACTAAAGCATATAAAAGTCTAATTTATGTTGTTTTTTAATATTAATTTTGAGAGAGAGGAAGGGAAAGAGAGAAACATGGATGTGAGAAACATCGACTGGCTGCCTTCTGTACCCACCCCTACCAGGGATCGAACCCTCAACTCTGGTATCTGTGCTAACGCGAAATTGAACCTGCCACCTTCTGATGTACTGGACGATGCTTCAGTCAACTGTGCTACACCAGCCAGGGCTATGTTTTTTATTTTTTTTAAAATTCATTTTCACTTAAAAAATTTCATTTTTACTTAAAGAAGTAACATATGAATATATTTTTTTTTTCAGGATGTTATATATAGAGAGCTATAGTTCCCTTTGAATTACATTTGGTTTCTGGCCTCTTCCCATTTTGGTGTATATCCTACAACACTTGTCAGTAAAATACTTTAAAACAGGTATAGCCCTGACCGGTTTGGCTCAGTAGATAGAGCGTCAGGCTGAGGACTGAAAGGTCCCAGGTTCAATTCCGGTCAAGGGCATGTACCTTGGTTGTAGGCTTGATCCCCAGTAGGGGGCGTGCAGGAGGCAGCTGATCGATGTTTCTCATCGATAGTTCTAACTATCACTCTTCTCCCTTCTCTGTAAAAAAATCAATAAAAGTATATTTTTTAAATGTCTTATTCTATGAGTGGGCGTATCTCTCTTTTTTTTTAAAAAAAAAGGTATATATCTATCCACATATATATTCTTTATATGCAAGCATGTTTTTGTTGCATAAATAATACTATTCAGTAGGCACTGTTTCCAAATAAAGAAAAGCATGCATAACCATAGAGGAAGAGGTAGGAAAGAGGATCGCATGTCTAAGGACCAGCGAATAATTTAGTGGGTCTGCAGCAGCACGTTTAGGGAACACTGGTGTGCCAGGGAAGACAGACTTGGAAAAATAGGTGTTGGTAAGATCATAAAGGACTTGCATGCTAAGTGGTCTAGGCTGCCAACCGGTGCCACAGATGCAGCATTAAAGCAGCAAGTCCTATCTGTGTCCTAATGAACATCCCAAATGAAACTATATGAATTGTACAGAAGAAAATTTCACATTGACCTTACTTACCTTTCAACACTATTGAGATACGAGGATCCATCATGGCCGCCTACTGCATATAACAGGTCATCAAGGACACTGACCCCAACACCACATCGCCTTTTGCTCATTGAAGCTACCATCCGCCACTCATTGGTCTGGGGGTCATATCGTTCTACACTGGAAATGGCATCTCCACTGCACCAACCACCAACTGGGGAAGTAACGCAAATGGTCAGAATGCCTGTCCCAAAGCACAGGCTGTACCACTTACTGCCAACCTGTAAACTGTGACCAGTGCTTGGACTTATCATGTTGGACTTTTACTTCGTCCACTAGGATTGCTAAAATCTTTCATTTCTAAATAAGTTAGTATAGGGTCCATTTTACAGAGACAGGCAAGGATACCAATTCAAATGGGATTGGGAGGTACTGTGACAAAACAGAAGACTGAATTTAGCTAGAAAGCTTGACTATTGCCTTTACTGAGCTCTGTGATCTTTGAAAAATCCTGTAAACTACCTAGTTGTAAAATAAGAAATAAAAACTTGCCGTAACCGGTTTGGTTCAGTGGATAGAGCATCGGCCTGCGGACTGAAAGGTCCCAGATTCGATTCCGGTCAAGAACATGTACCTTGGTTGCAGGTACATCCCTAGTAGGAGGTGTGCAAGAGGCAGTTGATCAATGTTTCTCTCTCATCGATGTTTCTAACTCTCTATCCCTCTCCCTTCCTCTCTGTAAAAAATAAAATATATTTAAAAAAAAAACACACACAAAAAAAACTTTAAAGTGAAACAAAATACATAAAACTGCTTTTTAAAGCACAACACACTACATAAATGTAATTAAGAGCCAAAAGAAGAACCATAATTCATAAGCCTGTTCTTTTTGTTTTTACTCTGTTAGGGGAGGGATTTTGGCTCTTCTCATGATTTCTTACTAGGTCCTCTTGTAACTAAAAATAATGCAAAAATTCTTATGATTTATTGACAAAATATTTTGCTTTTTAATCTGTAATCTGTACTGAATTCTGTATTATTCAACATAATATTTTTTAAAATTGATTTTAGAGAGGAAGAGACAAAAAGAGAGAGAGGGAAAGAGAAAGAGAAAGAAACATCAGTTGTCTCTGGCACATACCCCTACAGGGACCAAACCCACAACCTGGGTATGTGCCCCGGTGGGAACCAAACCGGTGACCTTTCAGTCCAAGGGATGATGCTCAACTAACTGAGCCACACTAGCCAGCACTTAACATAACATTTTAGATCAAAAAATGTTTTAAAGAAGTTACATTTTTCATAAGCTCATAACAAGTTCAAACTGAGTTCCATAAAGCATCTCTGAGTGCTCCCTGAAAGCATGCTTATTTGGGATACATTTGTTATTCTTTCAAACCATCTCTATTTCAATCCAAATAAGAGCTATATTCTAGAGCTTAAAAAGTGAAGTCTAAGGATACCTTTACCTCAAAACATTTGAAAACTGTTTTCTAAGGGGTTTCAATAACTTCCAGAGCTAGACTAAAATAGGAATGTTTCTAACCTTCTAGCTGGATTTGAAAATTCATTTCTTTATTTCAAATCTCAATGTGCACACATTTTATTTTATTATGGTTTCATATAAATCAGGGTATTAAACTAATACTATGCATCCCTTTCCAGCAATATTTTCCTTAGTACACTGGTTTTCTAAAGGCCTGTGTTTTTCTTTAGTATCAAGGAACACAGTTGATGAAGTAATATTAATTTGATTTGGAGCCATGTAATCTAATAAAAAGCTGTTTATGACTTCCATTATAAAATTGTGTCAGAGGTTTAATGAGCAGGCTATTTGTCTCAAATGCTCACAACCCTCACAGTAGGAGCCAGATTTTATTCTGGAATTTAAGATGTTTTCTCTGATATTGAAACTCCTGGCATACATCCTAGAACAGTATTCAAATTAGGATACACAAAACAGTGTCATTTAGTATTAGTTAAATATACTGATTTAAATGAAACCTGATTTTCCATTAATTATGACGGGTGGGTGATAATTTCTCCCTAGTCTTCCTCAGATCAACAGATTCAGAGGCAGACAATAGGAGCAAAACGATACAGCGTAAGGTTGTCTTGGGCTGCATCTAGCCAGTAAAGCTAGGAAGGCGTATAAATAACTGATATAAGATAATGTTTTTTTGACAGTTTCATGTAATTATGAGACAACTTGCACACTGGTATATAAATTAATGCACATGACTCATTTGAACAAAACATCCACTGCAATGTGGCTTTATTTATTTATAAATAGATTTTAGGTAATTTTCCCAATTTGCTTTTATATATTCTTAAACTGAAAAAAACCCCTCAGAATTTTATTCTTTTTGGACTCAAATACAAAGTTCCATTTATTTTCAGTAATGAAAGCAACACAACAAAGAGGAATTAATCCACTATTTTAAAAATCTAACACAGCCTTACCACGAAACTAGCCTTAAAAACACATTACTAGTTACCAAGTTAGACTATTCTTGAGACTCTCTAAGGCAGTGGTTCTCAACCTTGGCTGCACATTAGAATCACCTGGGAATCTTTAAAATCCTGATTTCTGGGCCTCATCCTCTGGAAAATTTATTTTTAAGATAAATAAACTCAGAGGAACTTAGCAAAGCCACATATAGGAAGTGCCTTATGGGTCATACCTTAGGACTAGTCCAGCAGGAAAAAATCACTCTGTAACATAAAATAACCAGAGAAATTAAAATATAGTATAATTTAGGAAACACTTTTAGAGTTGAGAGAGGACAGAGTAACAGATGGATAGTCTGTTTCTTTGTTACTAATGTTGTGGCCTCACCCCATAACAAAGAAACAGAATTTCTGGAGGATGAGGCCCAGAAATCAGGATTTTAAAGAGATTCCCAGGTGATTCTAATGTGCAGCCAAGGTTGAGAACCACCGCTCTAAGGTTTTGCCTGTGCAATGAGGTTTTAGGTTTATACAAACAGAGCACTGTTTTAGAGAATACCAGTGTTGGGTCAGCAGGTAAGACTGAAGTTACATGACAGCATATGTGTTTCTTATGACAGTGGATATCACAACTGTCCAAAGGACTACTCATTTGACAGTTTCTCTAAAATGTTCACTTTAGTCACCATAATTAAGATCCAAACCTGCAAAAAGTACTTCTCCACAGCGGATAGGCTTCCGTGGTCTTGTCCTTGGTCCTTGCATTAGTGGTCGTTCTTGGGGCAATAGAAGATAGTTTTTAGCCTCATCTACCAAGTCTCTGTGGAGAAAATTCTGCCTTTATTTCAAGTGTCTAAATAACACTGTTAGTCAAATCCCAGCATAGTTTAGGAATAGGTAGGTTGGCAAAGAGATCAAGCATAAATCAAACCAAACCCTGAACGCCAGCCCATATTAACAAGGGTCACAAACGTGAGAGCAATGATGCCAGTCACACTCGGAGTCATGGATTGATTAGTATTTCCATTTTGCCTTCATATCTCAGTGCAAATGTACCTCAACATGCTTGGGGCCAATAATAACTTACGGAAAATACCAGTGTTGGACTGGTCTTTTACAACTAGATTACCAGCCTAGTTATTGCTTTCTCATAAATTTTATTAGATTCTGCAGGATACTGGCAAAGTAGCACATCAGCCGTAGCACAAAATGTTTGCTGAATTAAGGTAATAAAACTAGGTCAAAAATTAGACTGTTGCTAAAAAGAAGCATGGTGCCATCATTTAATATTGATTTGCTATCTGGTACTGTCTGAATGGTTTACTCTCAACAACTCTACTGAGGATAAAGAAATGTTTTTTTCTGTCTATTAAGTTATTTTATGAGAAGAACCTAGTAATTGTACCTAAAAAATATCCTAATGCACACTACTTCTGTATGTACTTATTTCACTTGAGTCCTCTGCATGACACAGTACCTGACTAGTGCATATCCATCTGTTACTCTGTCCTCTCTCAACTCTAAAATGTTTCCTAAATTATACTATATTTTAATTTCTCTAGTTATTTTATGTTACAGAGTAATTTTTTCCTGCTGGACTAGTCGTCAGGTATGACCCAATAATGCACTTCCTATATATGGCTTTGCTAAGTTCCTCTGAGTTTATTTATCTTAAAAATAAAACAAACAAAAACCAAAAAAATCTCCCGATGATGATGAAGAGCCTTTTCTAGCTTTCTCGGCCTTAAAAACAGAGACAGTGATCTCCTAATAGCTGGGTTTTTTGTTTTTTTGTTTTTTTAAATATATTTTATTGATTTTTTTTTTTTTTTACAGAGAGGAAGGGAGAGGGACAGAGAGTCAGAAACATCGATGAGAGAGAAACATCGATCAGCTGCCTCCTGCACACTCCTCACTGGGGATGTGCCCGCAACCAAGGTACATGCCCTTGACCGGAGTCAAACCCGGGACCCTTGAGTCCGGAGGCTGATGCTCTATCCACTGAGCCAAACCGGCTAGGGCGATATAGCTGGTTTTTAATTAGGTTTTCAGGGGTTCCTAGAAAGAGTACCATACAGCTGATACTCAGCAAGCCAACCCACAATTAATAACAGCATTTACAGTCATGTGCTGCTGTACAGCACACTAGCTCACTAATCCCCACCACAGTCTATGAAATTGGTACTATTACTATCCTAACTTTATAGATGAAGAAACCGTAGCAGAAAGAGGTTAAAGTGACTTGCCTAAGGTCACAGAGCTGGTAAATGCTGAGGTCAAGATATCAGGAAGGGGCTTCTTTGACAAGTGACTTCACCTTTACTTTCTGCATCAGAATCAGTACAATCTGACTTCTGTTTTATGCACAAGGGGCACCTTTGTATTATTTCTTCAGATTTCAGCATCCATAATGCCTATGGTTTTCCTGCAGGTACTGTAAATATCTAGGGGAAAAACTGCCACTTGTCTGTTTTTTAAATTTAAAAGACAAAAATCTAAAGCCTCTCTAATATCTGTTAAAGGGACAGACTTTAGATTACAGAAGAAATGCAAATGCATCTTCATGTCCTTCCCGTTATAGGGATTTCTGATTTTAGTTAAGTTCTGATAACCCACTACCACTGGCCCAGCCAGGGGCTTCTTGATTTTAGAACATGTTTCTTCAGTGTAAGTTAAGGAGTTCTGAGTACTAACTTGCTCTTTTATGAAAATGATTAAAATGAGAAAATGATTAAAAACACCACATGGCTTCAGATTTGAACCTAAATCGTAAAATCTGTCAAACTGGGAAAATTTATTACATTTCATATACATTATAGAGACAGCCCAATAAAGGAGGTGTTTTGTTTGCTTTGTAAAAGCGTTTATAAAGCTACTTCAAAAGTGTGGTAGACCTTTAACTTCGTCCACAGTCTCAGAAAACAAGGCCAGTCCTAGTTCCTAATTGGGCATATATGATGGAATGAAAATGTGCTCCGGACACACTTTTTGGCAAAACCAATAGCATTATATATCTCAAAAAGAAATATATTAGCAGAGACTTACCTCTTCTAACACAAGCTTGCATTAAAATCTTAGAAATCTACATCTTTATTGGCACTTCTACACCAAAAAACACAATACATTACAAAACTAATGGGACGAAATACTGGAAGTTCAGTCCTCTCTTCATCTCTTCCTCTTGACCCGAACCAAGAATAAAAATCTGTTAGGTACTCTGCTTTCAGCACTAGGAAACACGCTAGTTAGGCAGCAATAGAAATACGAAAATTAGGAGAAAACAGTAACTCTTGGCGGCTGATTTTCCCGACAGCCATTCGTACCTGCATTCCTCATCGCTCTTGATGAGGGGATCAGAGCCCACGGTGCCCACCAGGAACTTGGGACTGAGCAAAGGCAGGCGGACATGCTGGAGCACCTATGAGAAAAGGAACATGCTTATAGGCTCGAGTGCCCATCTGCCAGGTTTATAAGAGAATAGTGCTCCCCTATTGTATTTCAATTGTTTGGGGATCTAATTGAATCAACTTACCAATTGATCTAATTAACATATAATGAAGAGGAAGACATAAATACTAAAACTAAATTCAGTTTATTCTAACCACCAACTCAGTAATTAGAATAATCAGAAAACAAAGCACAGTAATATCACTTTAGATCAGCAGTTCTCAACCTGTGGGTCGCGACCCCTTTGGGGGTCAAACGACCCTTTCACAGGGGTTACCTAAGACCATCAGAAAACACATATAATTACATATTGTTTTTATGATTAATCACTATGCTTTAATTATGTTCAATTTGTAACAATGAAATTGGGGGTCACCACAACATGAGCAACTATATTAAAGGGCCGTGGTATTAGGAAGGTTGAGAACCACTGCTTTAGATGTTACTTGAAGCTTTCAGCAATATATTTATAAGCTCTTCTACAATCAGCTTGTTTAACTGGACTCTAATTAAAAATCTAGAAGAATATCCTATTAAACTGCTAAAGCCTACAGTCATAATAAGAACATCAAACATTTCATTTAGTGACCACTTATGCCTCATATTGTCCCTTTATTCTTGAAAATGGCATGGGATTTCCAAGCCATAGGGAAAGGAAGCAGGACAGTCGTCTTCCTTGCTCTCTTCTGTTCATTTTGTACCATTTAGGACCTGTGGGTCGCAACCCCTGAAAATACATCCTGCATATCAGATATTTACATTATGATTCATAACAGTAGCAAAATTACAGTTATGAAGTAGCAATGAAAATAATTTCATGGTTGGGGGTCACCACAACATGAGGAACTGGATTAAAGGGTTGTGGCATTAGGAAGGTTGAGAACCACTGATTTAGGTTCTGACCAGCTTTATAGCCCAAACCTAGAGTTGATGCAAAATAGAGAGGAAGCAAAGAGCAAAAAGTTTATGATAAACACATATCTCCTTGATTATTTGGAAACAGATGGTCTTTCTTACAGTCTAATATAAGGGACAGGAGTGATGCCTGCTCCTTTTTTTGCAAGTCAAATACATATTATGAAAGCAGTTACTTAGAGAAGCATTTCCGTTATACCTGGGGTAACTGAGGACGTCTTTCTTGGATGCTGTATTTGACCCAGGCCATCACTGCATTGAACACCTGTTCTTCACTGCGAACGTTTAGCTCATCACTAGATATTATATCAATGAGCTGATTGGCTGGAAGCAACATGAACTCTTCACTTTCCATCACCTGTTCAAAGTGAGGTAAGAATAAAAGGAAAAAACCTGTGATCATACTTAATTTATTGTCTCAATATTTTTCTTAAGGGTTATGAAGAAAAGTTCTATTCCACAATAGAGCTGAGGTTCGAAACAGTGGAGCAGAAAAGTTTAAAAGAAACAGATGGGCAGAGCTATGTTTAAGACAATGAATCTATCATGTACAATACTACAATGGCGGATACAACATTACACATTGGTCAAAACGCACAAAATGTACAACATCAAGAGTGAACCCTAATGTAAACTATGGACTTGGGGTGATAATAACATGTCAATGTAGGTTCATCAGTTGTGTACCCTTCTGATGTTGATAGTGGGGGATGTTGTGTGTGATTGTGTGTGTGTGTGTGTGTGTGTGTAGAACTCTACTTTCTGCTCAATTTTGCTGGAACCTAACACTACTCTAAAAAAATGTTTATTAATTTAAAAAAGGAAACAAAGGAGAGTACAGGGGACACAAAGCTTGGGGAAAATAATAATTTATGATTCAAATAATTTAAGACAAATGACATCTTTTTTTCCTAAAAAGAAGTATCAAAATAAAAGTTTACATTCAAAGTAAACTAAATTATACCAAATTATAACTCCAGAAATATAAGAGGCATAAAAAATTCAAGAATAGCTTCCAGAGGAAGATTAGTACTGACAGAACAGTGTCTGGGGTAGAAACACCAAGGGGCCAGTATAAAAAAGAATAAAGGTGTCAGCAATTTTATAAGCAAGAATGGATATAATGAGGAGAATCAGACCCAGGAAAACCTCTGAAGACCAATGCACGCTTATATTTATCTATACCAGTACATCTATCTCACTGATATGTGTGTGCATACATTACATATATTGCTACACACACACACCAATAACTTATCTTTACCCAGGGCTAGGGAACTAACTGTCAGAATGGAGAGGAAATGACAACAAGGATATCACCTTGTCATGCATGCCATCCATAAATCCCAGAAGCTTATAGATCTTGCCATGACTATGCAGAGTACAAGGGGCAGGGTACAATGCAGGAGGGAATGGTAACCGCTACACTCCATGTGGTTTGTTCTCTCAACAGTACACGTGCTACGTGTGATGCCCATGTATGCAGGAAGGATCTAGTGAAGAGGTCAATTCCCACCATGTGACCTCTGATGCAGGTGATATATTTATTCTCTTGGGACAAGGTTATCTTCATGCTCATCAAAAAGTCAGAATATTTCGCAGAATATGAGATAAGCAACTGCTATTTGAATATTGGATTAAGAATGTTTTTCCCAAGTACATTAGAAAAAAATGTGCATCTCAAAATAAAAGTTTCAGACCATAAAGTCAGCTATACTTATAGTAGAAAATACTAATGAACATTTCATTTGTATGGCAAAAAGTTTCAAATCACCTGAGTGGGAGACCTTCTGTGGTTCAGGAAATTAAATAGGTAACATTTACATTTTAGCTAGGTTGCTTAACCAGGTAGCTTAGAATGACTGCATTGTACTCTCTGTGGCAGGACTGTTAGATATAGCAAATAAAAATAGAGGACATACTTACACTAAAAGTTATTTATTTATCTGAAATTTAAATTTAACTGGACACCCTGTATTTTATCTGGCAACCCTATGTTGGAGGCTAGAAAGGCCAGGGCCAAATTTGGGGCTTCGCTTCAAATTAAATGTGCTGGCCTTCACAGTGTGCAAAACTTAAGCCACGGCTGTATCCTACTTTCCTCTTTTCTTTTCACTCCGATTTCTTTACTTAAGTACAAGTAAGGTATCATATATCTTTGTGGAGTGCCTTAACATTCTTTGTGGATCGATCTTGACAGAGTGTAAAAATTTTTCCCAACTTAGTATTATAAACCAAATGTTATGTGTCAATGATCACCAAGTTTAAAGTTTATAAGTGAACCACCATGATATTAAATAATGATATTAAAAATGATATCACTTACTGGAAACATCAGATGGCAAGAAGACATGAAAATCTGTGTGAGAAAATATTTGTTTGGCACTAAGGACAAAGAGTAAGAATAATACTTTTGATAAACAAAGTATGGTTAAAATGTCACTTCTCCTTTTTCACCAATAAGAAAAAGATACTGTCTACCATTATGGCAAATCTAGCACTGACATCTATCCTGGAAACAAACAATCAGCTTAAGAAAATAATGCCTTGCCTGGCCTGTGTGGCTCATTGGCTGAGCATCAACCTATGAGCCAGGTCGTCACGGTTTGATTCCTGGTCAGGGCACATGCCAGGGTTGAGAGCTTGATCCCCAGTAGGGGGTGTGCAGGAGGCACCCAATCAATGGTTCCTTCTCATTGATGATTCTATCTCTCTCTCCTTCTTCCTTCCTCTTTCTGAAATCAATAATATATATATAATACCTTAAAATATCCGCTTTCTCAAATAAAAGTTTACAGGATATCTGCATTTTAAGTCCCACACTATTATGGGAACTTCTTTCATTGATATAGGTTTTTTCTGGTCTTCAGTTTCTTCTTGAGTCAGTTTTTATAAAAAAAAAAAAAAAAAAAAATATATATATATATATATATATATATATATATATATATATATAATCTCCTTCATGAAACAATCCCACACTCCTAACTTTCCTCTTCTCTCTATTTTCAGTTTCCTCCGCCAGCTGCTGTTCAGCTAACCCATCCTTTTGTATGGGAAAAATCTTAGGGCTTTTTTCTTCTTTCCCCTAATTAGGTGACTTCATTTGCATTGATTTTTTTTACCCGGCTTATAGTGCTTTCGTTATTTAAAAGTTTAATGTAATCAACTTTATCAATTTTTTCTTTTATGGCTTCTGGATTATATCTGGCCTAAAAAGAATTAAACCATAGTTTAATTACTGTGACTTAATTACTATGTTGATGACTCCTAAATTTCAATCGCATCCTAATCTTTTTATTTATTTCAGAGAGGAAGGGAGAGATAGAAACATCAATGATGAGAGAGAATCACTGATTGGCTGCCTCCTGCACGCCCCCCACTGGGGATCAAGCCCACAACCTGGGCATGTGCCCTTGACTGAAACTGAACCTGGGACCTTTCAGTCCGCAGGCCGATGCTCTATCCACTGAACCAAACCAGCTAGGGCCTAATCTCTTTTCTAAGATACAGACTCATATAAACAGAGGCCTACTCAATATCTCTATTTAGATATGTCACAAGTGTCTCAAACAGAATATACCTAAATCGGAATCCATTACGGATCTTACTTCCTCAAACATTTCCCCTCTCCAGTACATTTGTAGTACAAATTTCTAGAAATGGGATTGCTGAGTGTGTGCAATAAGACTGTAATTTTGATAGATACTGCCAAATTTCTTTTCAAAGGAGATGTATCAATTTATACTCACACTAGCAATGTAGCTATTTCCCCCATGGCCTTATCAATAGAATTTGCAATCCAACTTCTGAATATTTGTAATCTGGTAGATAAAAAAATAGTACTTTGTATAGTATTAATTCATGTTTCAGTTATTATGAACAAGCTTGAGCAGATTTTCACATGTTTAAGGGCAATCTGAATTTATTATTTTATTGCTCATTTTACTGGTCTTGGTTAGTGACCAATAGGAGCTTTTGATATATTAAGATTATTGCCTGTGATATGATTTGCACATATTTGCCCCCAGTTTGTAAAGCTACTATGCCCCCAGTTTGTCTTTGACTTATTTTGTTTTACCATGCAGACATTTTTTCATTTTATACAGTCAAATCTATCAATATTTTTTTCTATGCCTTCTGGGTTAGTCAATTAAGCCTTCTTTGCTTCTAAATTAGAAAGGAATCGATCCGTGCCATCTAATATTTTCATGGTTTCATTTGTATTTTTAAGTCTTTGAGTCACTGGAGGTTATCCTGGTGAACAGAAGAGTAATATTGAAGTGCAAAATGAACCATGTCTTTCCTTTGCTCAAAACACTTTAATGGTTAAATTTCAATTTCTTAACATGGTCTATTAACTCCAGTGCAATTTGGCTCTGTTCTTTCTGTAAAATCATTATGTAACATCCTCTCTTTTACTCTCTGGGTCTCACTAGATTTCTTTCCATTCTTCAAACTAGTTATGCTTCTTCATGTCTCAGGATTTTGCATGAGCTGTTCTAGAACCAAAGTTAAATCTCTGTAACACACTGTTAAAACATCCAGGGTTTCTTCTTTGTAGCACCGACTGCTGTAATTAGTTGTGTAATTGTACATTCACTGGCTATCTGCCCTGCTGGATTATAAACACACGAAAACAGACTCCAGGGGTCTCATTTACTACTGCAGCCTTTGTGTCTAAGCCCAGTGGCTTAAACATAGTAGCTTTACAAATATTGAATGAATGAATGAAAAATAACAGGCTTAATGAAAAATTCTTTTGATAATATCTAATTTCAATTTTTTTGTTTACTCACCAAATAACCTCTGACCTATAATTTATTCTACTGAATAATCCATATAATCAGGAAGGCCATGCTTCAGGTAAATGACTAATACCAGGTATCCTAGCAGACACACATCTCCTTATGAATTAATAAACTGTATTCTGACTTTTAAATTAGCCTTTTATGAATATGACATGACTAGGCACAATCAAGTCCTAAACTTTAACTATTACTGAGAAACACAAACTTGGACTCTAAAATAAAAACCAAGTTTAGAATTTATAACAACTTACTTATTTAATATTATTGGCAGTAAATAGCCAAGCTGCTATGTGTCAGTTAGCAGAGTGTGAGCCTATACCAGCCGTGGGCAAACTACGGCCCGCTTGAAATGAATAAAACTAAAAAAAAAAAAAAGACCGTACCCTTTTATGTAATGATGTTTACTTTGAATTTATATTAGTTCACACAAACACTCCATCCATGCTTTTGTTCCGGCCCTCCGGTCCAGTTTAAGAACCCATTATGGCCCTCGAGTCAAAAAGTTTGCCCACCCCTGGCCTATATACTCTCCTGACAAAGACATTATGAATACATTCAAACCACTAAGTACAACTCACCTCTTGAAAGTTATGTTGAGTGAACTTGTCTGCTATCCTTAGCAACTCACGACATGAATGTGTGTCAGCAAAAGCCCGAATACCAAGGCAGTTAGAGGGATCTAATTGTCTCTTTAAGAATTCGCAGCAGGCTTCCTGTATTTCTGCCAGCTGGAGGAGACAAGCAGCTGGCAGTAGGGTCTGAACATTGCCCTCTTCCACAGTTATCTGGGAGGTATATGCAAAGTCAATCAGCAGCTCCATAGCCCTCTCATCTATGTCCCGGATCACTACTTCTGTCTGCCGGCTCTCTGCCAATTCTCCTGTAAACATAGCGCGGAAGTAGGGACTGCAGGCTGACAAAATGACTCGGTGGGCATATATCTTCTTAGCGCCCACAACTAGCACCACATCGCAGAGCTCCCGGTGCTTTCTCAGGAGGTTAATCACTTCCAAGGTTTGTCGAGGGTGCTTGTCTGAGATATAGGGCATACGGGCAGGTTGGGGAACCCCTTCTGGCAGTTTGTTGGGGTCTCCAAGGGTGCAGCGGCTTGTTACATCCATTCCAGTCTCTCCTGGTCGAATGTTGGTGCACCTACAGGAATGGCAGGGGGAGAGGGAAGAGAAGATGGCAGTATTATTAGAAGCTCACTCCTGTCATAAAAGTATTCCTAAGTCGAGAGACAGGGAAACCTATAGGTAACCAAAAGACAGAACCAAGTCCCCAAAGAGTTCCCGTTCTAAGAACTCTAGAACTCAAAACTTCTTTAAAGTCTCTCAAGGAATGAATAGTACTAATTCCAAGTCAGAGCACTTTCACTGTGAACTGCCATAAAATAAAGGACAATTCTTTTTTCATCTCAGTAGTCAGATTAGACTGTTTAGGCCAGTGGTCGGCAAACTGCGGCTCTTTGGCCCACATGTGGCTCTTCCACAAAATACTGACTTCTGCGCATGGGCCACGAAGTTTCAATCGCACTGTACGTGCACGCCCGCACGTGGTATTTTGTGGAAGAGCCACACTCAAGGGGCCATAGAGCCGCATGTGACTCGCGAGCCGCAGTTTGCCAACCACTGGTTTAGACCATATCTTTTGCAACTGCCTATACTAAATTAATAACACATTATGAAAAACATTTTTAAATTATGATCTATGGGCTTTAATTCCTTAATCTGGTTTAACCAAAATCTTTTTTTTTTTTTAAGTATATTTTATTGATTTTTGACAGAGAGGGGCGGAGAGGGATAGAGAGCTAGAAACATCGACGAGAGAGAAACACCGACCAGCTGCCTCCTGCACATCCCCCCCCCCGCCCCCCCCCCGGGGATGTGCCTGCAACCAAGGCACATGCCCCCGACCGGAATCGAACCTGGGACCCTCCAGTCTGCAGGCCGACGCTCTATCCACTGAGCCAAACCAGTTTGGCCCAAAATCTTGATAGTTGTCATTTTTCTAAAACACATAAATGTTTATTTCTGATTATCATTGGAAGATATTTTAAATTGCCCTAAGGTTCGGCGCCAATATAGCCAATGTTGCATGAAAAGGTCAGAAGGAAAATAGGCCAGGGTCCAAAACCTAACTTTATATGTAGTACTGTATTTCCTTTACCTGAAGATGTCTAGAGTTTACAGTTTATACAGTCAATCACAATGTTCTAAAAAAGTGAAAAACAACAACAAAAAAAACTGGGAAAAAATCACAAGCACAAGTATGTCCTTGGGATGCTTTGGATAATTGCTTAGGGCCAGACATAAGTCAAGGGATTCTTCAGTCTTTGAATGAGAGGAGAACTTAGAATAAAACTTTGTGATATTAAAGAATATTGAGGTATCAATTATATGGATAAATACTTGCTATATTGGCAGCTAGTAAGAAAAGCTTTGTATACCTTTAATTCAATATTCACAATTCTAAAAAGTTGTTATTAAATCAACTGTGTGTCTTACAAGTGAGGAAATGTAGTAAATAACTATGCATTTACATTATAAAGGCACAAACTTAAAAATCAAGAGCATGGTTCTTCCACCAGCAACCTGTTTTTCCAAAGCACTTATACATTCAATCTTTCCACGCTTGGCCTCAGCCCACAGGTGACTGTGTATGCTAGAGTATAAACTGTGCACAATTCCTGACGTCTGGCGGAAATAGTACTGTATATGCTTGACAAGTGAAAGACTGAAATATAAAGCTGAGCAGTTAGATAATTTCACCACCCACATAAACAATCAAGAAGGCTTTTAGCCACGTGCATACTGGTGCCTTGTATGTAGTAGATGCTGAAAGAATAAACCACACGGGCAACAGTGGTAGAATCAGGCTTTAAAAAACCCCACCATTAAAGACAAGACCAACTCAAAAATTCCTGTTGTAATACTGATAGTGCATGTAGAAGTTAAAGCATGTTTGTTGTAACCTTAATTATGCACATAAATATGATACTGTTGAAATCAGATCAACAATTTTTTATCTCACCTAAGTAAAATATGAAAGCTAATTTCTACATATCTATTTTTTTGAAGTATGCCATAACAAAAAAAAAACCCTGCTGCTATTATTAGACTCTGACTTTAAATAATGGGTAATTTCTATATTATTATAGACTATGTGGTTAACAAACTTGGAAGGAATTCTCTTGAATGTGGTCATTCTCCAAAGTCTGTCCTCTCTGCTCTCTATACACATCTAATGGTTCCCATCACCCATGTGTGAATGGCTAAAGGAGTTTTATCTCCTATCTGAATAACTCAAGCTCATCTATCTCAATGATATATCTAAAACTGATTCCTTGATTCTCTTCCTCCACTGGTGTCTCTCCTCTAGTCTTCCCCAGATCAATAAAAGGCAATTTTATTCTTACATTGGCTCAGGCTAGAAATCTTGGAACCTTTCCTTTCCACCCTGAAACCCAAGCCATCAGCAAATCCTATCATTCTACCTCCATATAATACCTAAAATCCAACTATTTCTCTACACATCTAACTAGCCCCACCCTAAGTCAGGCTACCCTTACCTTTTAAAAGTATCATAATCTCATAAGTGGTCTTCTTGCTTCCACATTTGCTAATTTATATTCTCTTCTCTATACATTTATTTAGACCTTTTAATTATAAAAGACAAGATGAGGGCCCCCTGAATGATAAAGACCATTAGAATTGTTTGGTTGGCAGTATTTTTGGGTTTGTTTTGTTTTGAAATGGAAATAGAATATCATTAGGAGGACTTTTAGCTCACCATCATACTGTCTTACATGAAGCTGTGCCATACATTGTGTAAACTACCTAAAGATCTATGAATTTGTTTTTTAACCTCTGCTATAGAGGTACTAGTATAAGGATTGTGACAAAATAAACTGTTTGGTAGAATAAAGTAACAGTAATTTTAAAGGGAGAAAGTTTTTGCGGGGGGGGGGATGAGAAAGGAAGAATTTTAAGAGAAAGGGAAATGAAGGGAAGGGGAAGAGGAAGAGGAAGGGAGGGAAGGGAAGGGAAAGAAAAGGGAAAGGAAAGAGAGACTTTTAAAATGGTGGTGGGCCCTGGCTGGCTTGGATCGGTGGACAGAGCATCGGCCTGAGGACTGAAGGGTCATGGGTTTGCTTCCGGTCAAGGGCATATGCCTGGGTTGTGGGCTCGATCCCCTGTGGGGGCCATGTAGGAGGCAACCAATCAATGATTCTCTCTCATCACTGATGTTTCTATCTCTCTCTCCCTCTCCCTTCTCTCTGAAATCAATAAAAATATATTTAAAAATAAATAAATAAAATGGTGGTGGGTTATGATCTAAGGAGACAGCCAGTGAGAAAATGATGATGTCCAAAAAACTTTATGGCCCCCTCCGCTATCCCTAACCTTTCAGTAAAACCTGAGGTATTCAATGGCAGCAGTTAATGGAGGCGAAGAAAGAGACAGTGAGGCCCTAGCCGGTTTGGCTCAGTGGACAGAGCATTGGCCTGCAGACTGAAGAGTCCCAGGTTTGATTCCAGTCAAGAGCACATGCCTAGTTGCATGCAGGCTGGATCCTCAGTGGAGGGTGTGCAGGAAGCAGCCGATCAATGAGTCTCTTTCATCATTGATGTTTCTATCTCTCTCTCTCCCTTCCCCTTCCTCTCTGAAATCAATAAAAAAATATATATTTATATATATTTTTTATAAAGTATATCCTATATAATAAAGAGGTAATATGCATATTAACCCACACACCCTCACAAGATGGCTGCCTATAACCAGGCCAGCAGAGGGGTTAGTGAGGGATGACCAAATGACTGAACAAGCAGGCTGCATGGGGTGACCAGGCCGCTGGGGGGGGGGGGGGGGGCATGAAGGGCGACCAGGCCAGCAGGGAGCACAGTTGGGGACAACCAGGCCAGCGAGGGGGGGGGCAGTTGGGGGCAACCAGGCGGGCAAAGGGGGGGGGCAGTTAGGGGCAGCCAGGCCGGCAGAGGGGGGCAGTAAGAGGCGACCAGGGTGGCGGGGGGCTGGGGGAGGCAGTTAGAGGCAACCAGGTCGGCAGGGGGGTTGCAGTTGGGAGTGACCAGGCCGGCAGGGGGGGCAGTTAGGGGTGACCAGGCCAGCACTCAGAGGCAGTGAGGGGCAATCAGGCCGGCACGCAGAGGCAGTGAGGGGTGATCAGGCCAGTGGGGGGTGGGGTAGTTAGGGGTGACCAGGCAGGCAGGCAAGCAATTAGGAGCCAGTAGTCCAGGATTGTGAGAGGGATGTCTGACATTCTCCGAGTGGTCCCGGATTGGAGAGGGTGCAGGCTGGTCTGAGGGGACCCCCCCCCCCCCCGCATGAATTTCGTGCACCGGGCCTCTTGTATATATATAAAGAAAGACAGCGAGTATGAACCATTTTTAGAAAGAAGCTTTTCTGTGAAGAGATACAGTGCTATGTCTGCTTAAAGAAGTCAAAGACTGGAAAATAATTATATACTGACACTAAGAACCCAAAGGTGGGAGAAGTTTAAAAATACAAGCAAGAGGGGGAGAATAAATGACGGAATGAGATCCTTGAAGAGTGGGAGCGCAGGGAACCAAAACCAGAGGAATGGAACTTAGATGTAAGAGATCAGAGAAAAGGTGTGGGAGGGAGATAATGTGGAAACAGATACATTTATTTTGGGGTAAGAAGGTGTCAGCAATTAGGGAAGTTCATAAAGACCTCTATTTTTCTGTGAAGCTGGGAGTGGGAGGGTGGCAGGTCATCTTCTGGCTGTGAGCAGAATGGTGACAGGATTATGAGAAGAATGGGTAATGACGTGGAAGAGCTGCTATGGGGAATCAGTGAAGACTCAGAAATATTGTTGGATAACACTGTTGGCCCAAATGATATTAAAGACTCATGAATTCCCCGTGCCTGTTTTATCTAGTGGTAATCAACAGCCCAAATCAGAGAAAAGAAATGCCTGCATATAATTAGGCATAATAGAAATGCCTAATTAATAGGTATGCCTGAAATACCACAGACAAAACGAGTTGAATGATGGCTAGAAAATGGTTGAAACTGTGTGAAGAGAGAAGGGGCAATGGCATGTTAATTTTGACAAAGAACAGATGGAATGAACATTCAAGAGATTATGGTCAGAAAACAAGTCATTAGCATTTATGATTTCAGAGAGTTTTTCTGAGTGACAGTAGAAACGCATTGTGGAAGTGAGTGAAGGTGAAAGTCACAAGAATTTAAGAAGCCAAGGAAGTGCAGGCTAGGTAAATGGCTGTGTCATTCCCATGAATATTAATATATCCTAAAATCATAGTGAGGAGAAGAATCAAATCATGTGTATACCGGAAGCATAAACCAAAAAACAAACCAAACACCTTAAATATTCTTCATGTTTACCAAAGGAATGTTACAACTCTGGTACCTCCCTAAATAAATAAAATTTCTATCCACCCAAAATTTGTGAGTCAACTTCAGATTTCAGAGCTATCATGTCACACATTCCTCAGACCTTGTAATCCCAAAGTAATATTCCTCATTGAGGAAAGAGTCATTTTCTGTAAGTGGGTAAGATAAGTTGAAATCAAGCACAATAAAAAGTTTAGAAAACAGTCTCTGATTCTAAAATATTTATAATCAATTTTACCTCTTTGTCCAAAGACCTACAGAATTTCTCCTTAGCTTGGAATTATGTTCCTAAGCTAAGAACCTTTCTCTCTCTCTCAAAATCAAGACAGCGAGTGTGAGAGGGAGACAGAGAGAGAGGCATCAATGTTAAAGGGAAACACCAGAAGCTTCCTACACACGCCCTACCAGGGACGAAGCCCACAACCCGGGTATGTTCCCTGACTGGGAATTGAACCGGCAACCTTTCAGTGTACAGATGATACTCAACCAACAGAGCCACACTGGCCAGGGGTAAATGAACATCTCTCCTTTTATATTTCAAACATTTTGTTTTAATTTGGAAATTAACAGCCTGACCTTAGAAAAAAGATTCAGCTGGTTTGACCCTCATTTAAAGTCCCAAACACACTAAGAATAGAGAGAACTAGAGGTTCGAGTACAGAAATCCTTAAGATAGAAAACCCATCTGTTATTGTAAGTGCCAGTTCTGGTTATTAGAAGGGCACCTGCTAGGCACTACATCCCATACCTAATTCCACACCAGAATGCCAAGCTGTTAACCCTTAATCTGAAAACAGGTCATGAATGATTCAGCTCAAGACATCTTACCACTGCTTCTTGGACAAAATAAGGGTCAGCTTGGGTGCTTCAGCCAGGCAGTCAAGGCAAGGTGAAGGAGGCAGGGCAAACGGCAATGAAAACCAGCTGATCTCCCTTTAGGTAAGGAAAGCAAAAACCTTCCTGGGTTCCCCCAGCAACTTTGCTGACATCTCACTGATAACTCTGTTACACAGCTATCCCAAAATGCAAGGATTAAGATAGCAAGCATAATATTTAATTTTCTTATGTCTACAGTAAAGGGAGGAAAGGAAGGAGAGGTGTTGAGCAAGGAGCACCCAGATCAAGCAATACATCTTATACTACTACTTTTAAGCAAACATTTTCGACTGACTGGAATAGGAAATTCTAAAGATCTGAATGGGATTTTTTTGTGTGTGTGCATTTGAAGTTGAACTCAAGGAGAAACTTGTTTGATCTTCACTGTGAGTGAAAACTGATGAAACTCTAAATACAATTAAATAAAACAAGACCCAAAGAACCTAAAACTTCTTGCCCATTTTAGAATCCTTACAGGCTTTTTGTCTTAGATCACACCTTAAATTGCACTGGTACTCCCTAGAGTTCTGTCTTTGGCATCCTTCTTTTCTGTTTTACCCTCATTCACATCTACAACTTCTAGAACCTTCTGCGCACTGACACACAATTTTTTTTTTTTTTAATCGCCAACCCAAACTGCTCTTCTGCTCCAGACCCATATTTTAATTGGCATCTCTACTTGGCTTGAGCCAAGTGATGGTGATAAAGAAAGAGCTGTAACTAAATGGCACCAGAATTCTCCAAAATGATTTTAAGTAACTGGCAGTATTATGTAATAATGCAGAAAAAATGGGTGTAATTAAATGAATATTTTATATAGAAATTACTGATAAAAACATTCCCACGCTGTGCCTCTTTTTAAAGAATAATAAGCTCTTATTTTAGCAATTACATAAGATATAAAATTTATGGCAGCTGAGGATGAGAAGCAATTTGTGGTTTTATAACCATGTTGAAGTGATGAAGTACATGTGTTGTTAATTTCATGTGCTTTCTGTCAAGTATTATTGCTACTATAGAGTAAGATATAAATAACATAATGGCATTTGTTACATACATAACATCTTTTCATCTGGAGATTTCAAACCATTTCAAGCATTCATTATTCCCAATATCCTGATCAGATACATTAGAGAGGTAAATTGAGGCACAGAGAGGTGAACAGCTCAAGGTCAATAAAAAAATCAATAACAGATCTGGAAAAAGATATATTCTGATTTTTGCTCCCAGTTTATTTTTTATTTTTTATTTTATTTTATTTTTTTAAAATATATTTTATTGATTTTTTACAGAGAGGAAGGGAGGGAGAGAGTCAGAAACATCGATGAGAGAGAAACATCGATCAGCCGCCTCCTGCACACCTCCTACTGGGGATGTGCCCGCAACCCAGGTACGTGCCCTTGACCGGAATCGAACCTGGGACCTTTCAGTCCGCAGGCCGACGCTCTATCCACTGAGCCAAACCGGTTTTGGCTCCCAGTTTTAAGTTATAAGCCATATCCCCATCATGAAATGTTTCTTTTCTTAAAAGGATCTGCCACATTGTTTATCTTTGATGTTAAATAGCAAATAATTAAGTATAGTTCAATTAATGTAAAATGAGTTTAAAAAATGAACTTGAACTGGGCTGATTGTTTCAATAAGGGCTCTTGTTCTACTTGTTAGAACAGATTGAGAAAAAGTATTACTGAGTTTTAGGGTTGGGAGGACCTATAATTGTCTACATTTCCCCACAAACTGTTTTGCTTTTCTATGGACCGAGTTATTATGTCCAATATCTTTTTTTAAAAGATATTAATTTTTAGAGAGAGAGGAATGGAGAGAGTGATAGAAACATCCATGATGAGAGAGAATCATGATCAGCTGCCTCCTGAGCGCCCCTGTGGGTTAACCCGAAATCTGGGCATGGGCCCTCACCGGGGCAGAACCAGTGATCTCTTGGTTCCTGGGTAGAGGCTCAACCACTGACCCACACCAGTGGGGCTGTCCAATACCTTTTATACTCCTCAATCTTCCGTGCAACGTGGCTATTTTAATTAACAGAACAATTGTATTACCAAATATCAATGAAATAACTAAAACAATCATTAGACATTCAGTACAGTGTATTATAAATCATCATTATACGTATATGGCAACAGAACCCTCTACAGGGGATTAAAGACTGTAATACATCCATATATCATAGTGCACTTAATGATTATCCCCAAAAATTACCATACAAAGGAACATTTCAATATTAACGACGACACAAAATTCATAGTACTCCTTAGAAACTTTTCTATATATTTCTCTATTTAAAAGCTATTAATTTCTGATATTATTGATTTCTTTTAGAACAAAAAACTTTAGTAAACTTAAAAAAAAACGTTGTGAACTTTAAAAAAGATTTGTAAACTTAAAAAAAAAATTTTTTTAAATGAAGCCCTGAATGATCATGCGCTGGATTTCAGTGAAACCGAAGGTTTTCTTCCTAAATGCCTACCTGCGCATTGGCTTTCCTTCCATGCACCATGAAAAGTACCCTTCACCACGCTCTACAGCCGAACCTAAGACAACAGAAAAGCAGCAACTTAATAAAAACTATTTCTCAGCGATACACCATTTCACGTCCGGTTATATTACAGACCTTTTGCAGATGCACAAGCACAGCCTTTACCCAGGACCTTACAGTGGTTCTCAACCTTCCTAATGCCGCGACCCTTTAATACAGTTCCTCATGTTGTGGTGACCCCCAATTTCATTGTTACAAATTGAATTAAAGCATAGTGATTAATCACAAAAACAATATGTAATTATATGTGTGTTTTCCGATGGTCTTAGGCGACCCCTGTGAAAGGGTCGTTCGACCCCCAAAGGGGTCGCGACCCACAGGTTGAGAACCGCTGCAGATGACTATCCTTCACCTGAATCGGTTGGAAGTGAAGGCGAGGGGACGCGCGCTCAACAGGCTCCACCGCCAGGTCCGTCTCCCTTCGAACGGCGCTCGGAGGCGTCCCGTCTGACCTCACCGCCAGGCGCACCCTCAGCGCGCCCACCGGGTGCCCACGGCGGCTCTAACTCAGACGAATAGGGAGCGGTCGGTTCAACCACGGACCTGAAAGCAATGAACCTGTCTGGAAGCGACAGCGGCAGGGGAGGCATTTTGCCTTTAAAAACAAAAACGCCGCCTCCGACAGCCGGGCAGCTTTAACGGTACAGAGACACGAACGCTCCGGGTTCACATTCCCTTCACCAGCCCTTCCCTGTCCCCGAAACCATGTCCACCGCCCACTCGGCACGATCTCGCTAGGTCCCCAGGGGTAAATGGGGCGCTTCTCCCTAGTCCCAGCCCTTGTCTGGGGAAGCTGTGCAGACAAGCCCCAACCCCCAGGCGGGACAGGACAGCCCCGCGCCTCCCGGGCTCCGGGGTGGGGCGGACAGCCGGCTGGAGTGCAGGCTGGTGCCCCACGAGGCCCAGCCCCAGCGCCCCAACAGCCCCTTCTCGGCGCCGAGTGACAGGCGGCGGGCGAAGCTCGGCCCTTACCCGACGCGGAGACTCGGCAACTTGGAAGCACAGATGTGCAAAGCGAGCCCGGGGCGCTCTCCGCTGTCCCTGCTCTCAGGCGGCTCACTCACCGGCTCGGACACTTTCCTGTCCCTTTGCCGCAGCCTTCCCCGCCTGGTCCGCCCGCCGCCTCCTCTCCGCCTCCGCCTCTGCAGCCGCTAGCGCCGGCAGGATGCCACTCCTCGGGCTGCTTCCTCCCCGTCCCTCGCTCCGTTCAGCAGCAGGAAGCGGTCCTCATCTTAAATAGTTCCCCCCTGGAACTCACTTATTCTGCCAAGGGGTTCCGGCGCGGCTCCGGAAGTAGCCGCTCTCCTTGCATCCAGTTCTTTCTATCCCAAAGATGACTACTTTGCGAGTTCACCGCCGAACTGGCAGTATTTGAATACTGAAGCCTCCTTTAGAAAAATAAAAATAAAAATCTTTATTGTTGAAGGTATTACATATGGCTCCCTTTCCCCCCCATAGTCCCCTTTCAGCCCGCCCCCATTCCCCCTCACCCCTTCGCCCCAGGCCTTCACCACCCTATAGTCTGTGTCCTTATGCATAAATGCATAAAGGTCTTTGGCTGAAGCTGCCACATCGCTCCCTTGTTTTCCCAGCTGAAGGCAATAGGAAGACGAGCCTAATCAGACAAAGCTAGGAATTTTGATTTATTTGTAGCAGGTGAGTCTCCTGTAGGCACATAGATGGACGCATGCTCACATGGGGTCGACATATATCTATTAGGCCCATACTATGTGCAAACTGCTGAGGACGCACAGCCAAATCAGAAGTGGACTCCACCGTGGAGATTTTCCACATTTTAACTTTCAAAATACCAGAGTTTTATCCAGGATTTTAAGGCTACGTGTCAACTTGCCCTTTCACTTAATTAACCACCAGACACTAGCAGAACACTTCTGGAGGTGGGGGGAACTTTCAAATTTGCTATTTGCCTGATTTTTCCACAGCACATAGCCACATGAGTTTTACTATATATTTAGAAAAAAAAAAATAAGTGGTAGGGTAGGGGGGGATACAATTTCAGTAATATCAGTGAAACACTTGGTGGTTTCCTAATAAATATACAGTTAAGCACAAATTAACCAGATTTTCCTTTAACAGTTCTTCACACGGGATATTCAAAGGTTTGTCCACTTGCTTCTGAAAGAGAAAGAATAACTTTTGCTAGTTAGCTTGTAGTGGAGAATGCATGGCCTTTAGGTCTAGAGACCCATAGGTTTAAATCCTAGTTCTGTGACTGACTAGCTTTGTGATTTTGGTCCGATTTCTTGGTGCTCTGCCCTCAGCAAACTATATATTCTGATGGGAGGAGACATTCTAGTGCAGTGGTTCTCAACCTTGGCTGCACATTAGAATCACCTGGGAATCTTTTTTTTTTTTAAATTAAATCTTTATTGTTCAGATTATTACATTTGTTCCTCTTCCCCCCCCCCCCCCCCCCCATAACTCCCCTCCTTCCAGTTCCCAAGGGAATCTTTTTAAAATCCTGATTTCTGGGCCTCATCCTCTGGAAATTCTGTTTCTTTGTTACTAATGTTGTGGCCTCACCCCATAACAAAGAAACAGAATTTCTGGAGGATGAGGCCCAGAAATCAGGATTTTAAAAAGATTCCCAGGTGATTCTAATGTGCAGCCAAGGTTGAGAACCACTGTTCTAGTGGGTGCAATGTATCAGGCAAAGAGATATATAGAAGAAATAGGGGTGGCCTGTTGCTAAGCTCATGTGATGCTGTTTAATTAAATAGATTGATAAATTGGCTATTAAATGCTAAGCAGCCCAGACTAGTTTGGCTCAGTGGGTAGAGCATGGGCCTGTGGACTGAAGGGTCTGGAGTTTGATTCTGGTCAAGGGCATGTACCTTGGTTGCAGGCACATCCCCAGTAGGGGGTGTGCAGGAGTCAGCTGATCGATGTTTCTCTCTCATCGATGTTTCTAACTATCCCTCTCCTCTCTGTAAAAAATCAATAAACGATATATTAAAAAACAAACAAACACTAAGCAGGAAAGCCAAAGGGTTTCCTAGGTAACAAATACAGGGGCTCTCCTCTTCTGTAAGCTGAGGACCAGGTCCAGGACTTAATCATGAGAGTAGCAGAGCCTCAAAGAAGATTAAACTCTCAATATTGGCAAGTCTGCTATGCCCAGGACAGGGTACTAGTTGGGAAAGAGTGGAACCTTAACAATGGGATGGAGACATCTGGCGGAGTACACACAGGACTGACTTCTGAAGGTGCTGGAACAAGGGGACAGAATACAAAGTTGAACAGGGGAGACTTAACTGGAAAGCACTCTCCTGGGATAGGGGATCTAAGCACCATGGCAAAGATCTCAGGAGATAGTACAAACATGCCGCTAGAATGGCTTCCTAAGCATGGAGAGTGATGGCCCATACTAGATGAGGTCACGATGCCAGGATTACCATGCAAGGCAGTGGAACAAGGGATTAAAACGTTAAAAAAAAAAAAAAAAGTGAGCAAGCTAGAGTGGATATACAATGCAAGCCTGGAAAACCCAGAAGGCAGTTAGAATCCATGCGAGGGACCAGAGGGCACATTCTTTTGATACCCCATCCCATTGTCCACCCCACCCCCATTTTAAAAATCCTCTGTTTTGGATCTTAAATAACTGAATCAAGAGAGAGGAAGTTTCCAGGTTCCTTCCACTCCTGCCATAGTTGGCACTTGGGAGGTCTCAGGAAATGCCACTTGGTGGCCATGACCATAGCCGTAGGTGAAAGATCTCCCATAGACTAGAAAATTAAGCTGCCCATTATAATTACTGTCTTTCGTCGTTTTTAGATGGCATCTTCATATTTCTGGAAAATTCTTCCATTTAAAGGCCAAAGATAAGCTACCAATGGGCACACCTTACTTTTAAATTTTATTTTTTTGTTTTTGTAAAACAAATATAGACCGTATTACAGAAAACTTACGAAATAAAGAAAACCCCACCGCACACCACCTTCCGAACACAGCGGTGTTAATCATTAAGATTTTAATCGTCCCGCTGCGTCTTTCCCGCATATCCTCGCACCTGGCATTTTGACCCGTGTGTACAGCGTTAGCGTCGGGGTGAGTCGTCGCCATGGTAACCGCGGAAGCCGGGGATCCCGGGAGCCGAGAGTGCTGGGTCCGGGCGCCGAGGGCCCAGGTGGGCGTGTGGGGAATGGGTAGCTCCCAGCCGGGCAGCTGGGGCGGGTGGGGTGGGCGGGGAGGGAACTTTGCGGAGCGGGTCCCGCCTCGGGGATCCGGGAGGTGCCTGCGGGGTTCAGGCCGAAAGGCGAACTCTGGTGCCCCCTCTGCCACTCTTGGCAGGGCTGCCGCTCCCTATCCTCTTCCTCAGGCCTCCCCTTTGCTTAGCCCTGGGGACCTTCCTGAGCCGGGACAAGGGACTACATTGTAAAAAATCCAGTTGGTTTAAAAGACCCTTGAGCTCTATTCCTCCAACTACGACCTCAGGCTGCCTTGACTGCCCCCTCGCTGTTTGTTTATGCTCCTCCTGTGACCCGGTTGTCCTTTTCTCCTCCTTTTAAGACGCCTACTCTTCAATCCTGAAGGGTCACCTCTTCTGGAAAGCCTTTCCCGGACCTGCCAACTCTGAGTCTACTTTAGATGTCCATTCTCTACTCTCAAACACGCTTTGCTAATCTCCATTCTGTCCCATATCTCGGTCATTGCTGATTTACCGAGTCTTCCCCACTGGACGGTAAAGGCCCATGGGGCAAGGACCATGACCTATGGGTTTCCTATTCTTAGTGCCTTAGCAGCCTCAAAAGAGTTCACACTCGAGAGTTCAAAGGAAAAGCCATGGGCTGTTCTCCACACTCAGTCAGCAAGGCAGAGCAGAGCTGTTCTCATTTCACAGTGGCCTGTTGCCTGAGGCCACAGTTACCTCAAGGTTCCACAGCGGCAGATCCACTTCCACCTTCACTCAGTGGTTGTTGGTGAGTTTAAGTTCCTCTGGGCTGTTAGACTGAGGGCCTCGGTTCCTTACTGGCTCTTGGCTAGAGATTGCCCATGTCTCTCTTTCTTTAAAAAAAAAAATTTTTTTTTATTGATTTTTTACAGAGAGGAAGGGAGAGGGATAGAGAGTTAGAAACATTGATGAGAGAGAAACATCGATCAGCTGCCTCCTGCACACCCCCTGCTGGGGATGTACCCGAAACCAAAGTACATGCCCTTGTCTGTTGTAAGTGAATTATGGAAGTGACATCCCATCACATTAGAATAAAATCACTATATCCTGCCTTCTTCACAAGGAGAGAATTACACAAAGGTGTGAATACCAGGGTGTGGGGTGAGGGGCTTTGGGAGTCATGTCAGAGCTGCCTACCCATGGAGTATCACTGTAATTTAATCACTCTAACTACTATATACTATCTTGTGCAACTATGTCACAGTTTATGCTCCTGTTAATGGGCACTGTTTTCCCCCCACCCAGGCTTTTTGCTCTATGAACAGTGATGCTACAAACATTCTCACACATCTGTAGGGACCATGCCCCCCTTCTTTGTATCATTCCCAATTTAATATGTATTATGCCAGAGTGAGCACTGTGACGACTTCCATCTGGAATTAATCCTGTCCCTTGTAAATTTCCATAGCACTTCCTCTCATGTGATACTTATCATCTATCACCTTTTATTACACTTATTTTGCACAGGTCGCCTTTTTCCCTTAAAAAAACTAAGTTGTTTAGGGCAGGAAATAAAGTTGATTCTTCTTCATAATTTACATAATACCTACACAGCACTTAGGATGTTGGTAAGCTTTCAGTAACCATTACTGAGAGACTGAATTCTGTCTAAACATCAGTGCCTAATTTTTTAAGGTCTTAATAATCTGACTCCAATGATGCAACTATTTTTCACTTCTCCCCAGGATGACCCATGGTTAGGCAAGTGGGTTACTCTAACATCCTCTTTCAATCTTTCCCCAATGAATCCAGCCCGCATTGCTCTCTACTGTTCCTATTGAATTTACTATGTATAGCACATATTCAGCATTGTAGAATGTATTCAGGCAGTGCATCGACTGTATTGACTTCTGGTAGGTGCACAATAAACTTTGTTAGTTGAATGGATGAAATATTTTATAATTACTTTTAAGCCAGTTAAGAATTTTCATCCCATCTATATTGTCAGTGGACTGACTGAATCAATCAATCAATAAATACCAATTTGTCTGAGTAGATTTTTATTACTCTTTTTTTTTTTTGTCTCAGGTATTTTTGGAGTTAATGGATCTAGAAGAACCCCAAGACTCAGAGAGTTCAGAAAAATCAGAACCTTTCTCACAGCAAGAAGAAGTTGAAGAAGGAGAAGAAGAAGAGGAGGAGGAGGAGGAAGAAAAGGAAGAGGAGGAAGAGGAGGAAGAGGAGGAGGAAGAAAAGACAGGCTTTCTTAATCCTCTCTTACAACCTGTTCTCACAGGGGATGTAGAAGGTTTGCAGAAGATTTTTGAGGATCCAGAGAACCCTCTCTATGACCAGGCTATACAGCTCCTCTTGGAAAAAGACATTGTTGGAAGAAATTTGTTGTATGCAGCTTGCATGGCTGGGCAGAGTGAAGTGATTAGAGTTTTGGCAAAATATGGCGCGGATCTGAATGACAACACAGCCAGAGGTATTTTCCCTTTTCTCTCACCAGTATTACTTATGACTCCCTAAAGGTGGATAAATAGGATGTGCCTGCTTTATATTCTGCACATATAATGTATACACACATAGATAAGAATGTACGTGTGTGTATATGTGCTGATACCGTACAGCACAGCAGTTAAGAACACAGACTTCACTATTGCTGTGTGACTTGGGCAAGTTACCCAATCATTTTGTGTGTCTCTTTTTTCATCTGCAAAATGGGGCTAATATTGTATTTTCCTCATAGGGTGTAACAATCAAATAAGATAATTATAAATATCACAGTCCTTGGTACATAGTAAGTTGTAAACAGTAATTGCTCAATAATATTACTGCAATGACGATCTTGAAGAGTGTAGTCCATTTGGCCTGTCTTCATGCTGTTTGTCAGGTTATACACCCTTACACTGTGCTGCCGCCTGGGGTCATCTGGAAATATTGAAAGTGCTTGTGGTGGAACTGGATGTTGATATAGAAGCTCTGAACTTCCGGCAAGAGCTAGCTCGAGACGTTGCTGCTCGGTATTCCCAGACCGAGTGCGTTGAATTCCTGGACTGGGCAGGTAAGGACACCCACCTGGTATCAGTAAGCTGACTGGTTCATTTGTATGTATGCTGTGCTTCCATCAAAGGTCAAAAAGCCATACTAATATTTTGTATATGTCATTTCCACAGCCCTGTAGAATGTAGCTTAGAGATTTGCATGCATACAAACATCGGTTAAAAAATTAGTAAATATCAAGTTCACGGCATTCATTTTATGTAGTAATTTGCACTCATGCTTTTAGCAAGCATTTAATAAATGCTCACTGAGCATTATTGTAGGTACAATTGGTTGTTCCTGCCCTCTGGACATTTGTTGGGGCGGGGGTGATAAATGGTAGGTACATATCAGTAATAAGATCAGCGGGACTATGATGAAGGGTTAAAATCAGCAGAGCAGATCATCATACCTGCTTTGAAGTGGACAGAGGTCATGAAGTCAGAGCACGTTGGAGTTGAGCTGGGCCTTGAAAAATGGGTGGGATTAGAAAATACAATAGAAGGAAACGGGCATGAGCTAACTCTAAGAGCTGGGAGTGAAAGTGGCCTGTTTGAAGGACAGTAACAAGATTGCTTTACTGGAACGCAAGTCCTAGTTTGCACAGGTAAGCTGCAGAGTAATAAAAGCATAAGTACATGGGCTCTTGCCTCAGATTGCTTGAGTTTACATAGAGGTATCTCCACTTGAAACCTATGTGACCTTGTACACCCCCCACTCTCCACCCCCCAAAAAACAAACACAACAACACTCCACCCATTTTTGAAGAATGACCCATAGTACTTAAGAAACACAATCCAGGGACAGATTTTGCTGTTACTTTTCTGATGGGTACGGAGTTTTATTGTTTTCCTGTCCCTAATATCCATCTGTTTTGTTTGGGTCCTTACATTCTCAGGGGAATGATACCTAACATTTCCTAGTGATGAAGATAAAAAAAGGTGCTAATACTATCAACTCTTATTCTGTTTCCAGACCAGTGATAGAATTGTAAGGATTGTGACTTCAAGTACACGTAGCTCTGGAATGTCAGAAACACAAACTATTCAACATTTCATGTTTGTTTAATTCAGACTTCCAAGTGTATAAGCCACTTCCATTCCCTGTTCTAGTCGTTAGAGTAGGAGGCATCTGGAGAGGTTTAAGGGGTTGAGGACTCCCTACCCCAAAGAGTCCTCTCCATACTGCTAAAATTCCACTGTTAGAAATTTCTTTGGGTTTTCAAGGTTTGGACACTTTTTAAGTGTTCAAGAGTCCTCCATTAAAAAAAAATATTTATCAGCTTTCTCTGAGTGGGAATTAGTTGATATTTCAGAACTCTAAAGGCATGGAACAAACATCTGTGGAAATGTGGGTAGGGTTGTGCTAAGAAAGCATGGAAAGAAGGAGGAGAGTCTGGAAAGTAGAACCATAAATAAACTTTAAAAGATATTTTTATTGATTTCAGAGAGGAAGGGAGAGGGAGAAAGAGATAAAAACATTAATGATGAGAGAGAGACATTGATCAGATGCTTTTTGCATGCACCACACTGGGGATCGAGTCCGCAACCTAGGCATGTGCTCTGACTGGGAATTGAACAGTGACCTCCTGATTCACAGGTCGAGGCTCAACTACTGAGCCATGCCGCTGGGCTATAAATTAACTTTTAATCCACAATAACCTAAGATGGACACTATTGCTTTCTATTACTTTGTAAAGACTATTTCTATTTCAAGAATTATTTTTTTCTAAATATATATTTTATTGATTCCAGAGAGGAAGGGAGAGGGTGAGAGAGCTAGAAACATCAGTGATGAGAGAGAATCATTGATTGGCTGCCTCCTGCACGCCCCCTACTAAGGATTGAGCCTGTAACCTGGGCGTGTGCCCTTGACTGGAATTGAACCCGGGACCCTTCAGTCCCCAGGCCGACACTCAATCCACTGAGCCAAATCAGCTAGGGCCAAGGATTGTTTTTTTAAATGTTATTGTAGACAATATTACAGATGTCCCCCCTATTCTCCCTTCTTAAGTCCCCTCTACCCAGCCTTAGATCTTGCATATATTTCTGGGATTTTTCATGTTTTTAATCAAACTTTCTGTCCTAGTCTCAGATCAGTCTCCCAGTATTTGTTGGAAGGTATGGTAACCATATTGTTAAAAAATTGAGATAGCCGAGCAACAAAACTCAGAAATTTAAAAGGAGTGTTGATACTCAATTCATCATTTATTATACTAGAAATGGAAAAAATAATATTAAAAAAATTAATCTGTTACTTGATACTTGCGTACTATTCTAGCAAAGGGCATCTGAGATGAGAAATTAAGTTTTCTTGTGGCCATAACATTTGCTCAGGAAAGCAAGAAAAGTCACAAATATTATTTAAATTGGAGATTTATTAAAACACTAAAGATTCTAATTTAAAGATCGATTAATGATTTGTAATGTGATGCATTAAAAAGAACAAAATACTTAAATCTGCAGTAGTGACTGTGGGCCGTCTTTTCCCCGGTACTTCAGAAAGTACGGATGCCTTTTCAGCTGAATAGAAATATCTTTAACTTGGACTTCTTTGCAAAATTTCAGTAAAGAATGTGGCAAAAAAATGAGAAAGGCTCACAGAGAACCATTTTGAACCTTATAAGCGTTCTCTTCTAGGCGCTTTGCGTCGTCTCCATTTTGGACAGAACCACATTCACATGTTTTTGGTGTTCTCTGGTTCCTCCGCGGTTCTTGTACTTGAGCTTTCCGTGCTTGAATTTCTTAGACGAAGGACGCTGGGCCTTCCGGTCCAGGTACTCACTCATCATGGATGTCGTGGCCAACAGTTTGAAGAGTAGTTTGTCTATGTCATTGATGGACTGGCTTTCCGGTTCATTACTGACTGTGTCTATGGAGGCTTGTTTTTTCAGCTAACAGGGGGAAAAGCGAATGAAATTATAGGTTGTTTTCTTGCTGTAGTTCAAATTAAATTTTCTGGATAGCTGTACTGAAACATCTTACTGATTTATATGAAAGAAAGGTCATTACAGAAAACAGGTCCGAGGGCAGAAGAAATGCTCTTTTGTGTATGTCCCTGTGAAAGATGATAATAATCATTATCATCATCAACAAACATTTAAAAAGTGCTTTCTATGGTTAGAGCATTCTGCTGGGAGAAGCTATTTGAATATTAGCAAAATATTTCCCTTTACTAAACAGCTTCAAAGTATAATGCTATAACATCAGGGTCATTTTATAGCAATATGTTTATTGTAAAAGTCAATGAGCTTTTACGATTGCCTCAAAATCTGGAGTCATTGGCAAAGTGGGGAATTAGTTAAAGAGTGCCATTTCCCAGAAAGTTATCCAAACTTTAGACATTAGTTTACAGTCCATTTAAAAAATACATGCCAACTTTTACATACTTAGCCTTCTTAGATAGATCTGGAAGGAATCTAACAGATATCTTATTTCACACCCTTCATTGTATTGGTGAGGCAGCTGAGAAGGATCAAATGACTTACCTCTGGGCCCAGACAGGTAACTTCATTTCCTGTTCATTCTACTCATTGTAGCTCATTACTTTCTTGATGCATTTTGTAACTTGAAAGGGAGGGATTGTACTAGGTTATTTTAAGGACCTTCTAATTTAATACTGATTTGTTGAGCACCTACTATATGCCAGACACTGTGCTAGATGCTGGGGGTGAATGGCAGGGACTGTGGGAGATTGCAAAGAGGAAAAATATGTCGTACTTTCCTTCAAAGAAGCTGGTAATCTCTTTTAAACTCTGATATCCTATGACTACTACTATTTGCATCACTACCTTACCTCTTTCTTGTGTCTCTTCCACTTCATCCACAGGTAATGCACAGATAAAGCAAGCAGGATTAGAGAGATAGCTTGTCCTAAAATACATATGAGATATACAAGACTCGCAATTACATCCATATTAATAAAATTGCACCATAGTTTGTCCATAGGGTAAGGTAGACAGTGAGATGGAGAAGGTTCAACTTTTAGATAAAGCATTTCTTCAGGAAATATCTCCCATCCAACCTTAGCCCAGGTAGTCCCATCACAAATGCAGGAATTTTCCTTCAATAAGCAGGCACACAACAGAAGAAACATCAGGGGTAGTTCTTGAATGGACATCTTTCTCAATTGGGATAAAAAAAAAATCTATGGCCAAAACTCTGGTCAGAGACAGAGCAGGGATGCCCTGAGTACTAGTTAATAAGAACACGGAAGGTAGTCTTTCTACTTGGGAAAATAAACACTGCTGATCATTGTGACATCATCAGTCAGTGATTCATGGACAGAGTCAGTGACATCATAACCACATTGGAACTAAAAGGTGTTACTTAGCCAGTCACCTGGGGATCCTTTTTCTTGCTTTATACTAGAATTATTTAAGCTACTTCAATTTTATGAAAAATGAAGACTTTACTAATGTCTTGCTAGCTAATTAATTAAAACTATAATCATATTAATGGAGTTTCATGGAAACAATTTACCTATATCCCTTCCAACCCTTCTCAAGTATAGCTGTTTTATATCTGCTTTAAAAATATCTGTAGCTATGCCATTTTACACAACCTACAATTGCTTCTGTTTTTCGCTCGGAAATATCCTTCCTTTCAAATTAAGCAAAAAAAGTACCTACACCTTTTAACCTATGCCCACTAAGTAGTGGGTGAGGGGTGGGGAATTTGGCATGGCAGAGAGCTTAGCTGAATTAGAAGTGAATGTGGACATTTAGCTGAAGGGATTTCGAAGCCAAGTGTTGAAGACAGGACCTGGTTTCTTTCTGTTGCTCCCAGTAAAATGTGAGAGGGGTAAGATAAATTGAGGAAAGAACCTGCTATGGAAAGGAACACAGGACTTGATGTTTTGGGAACTTCTCAGCCTAGAGGGATCGCAAAACTGCTAACACGAGGAGATTCACTGTCAGGAAGGTGTCCTCTGGAGGGAAAGCCAGGGGTGTGGCCACCCCGTGTTTTGCTGGTGCTTAGAGCTCAGGCTTACGGGCCCCCTCAGCCCTCTCAGCAGAAGTCAGGCCAGAAAGGAGATTGTCCAAGAGGACCCGTGGCCGAGCCTCTAGTCCAGGGGTCCTTAAACTACGGCCCGCGGGCCACATGCAAATACAAATATTGTATTTGTTCCCGTTTTGTTTTTTTACTTCAAAATAAGATATGTGCAGTGTGCACAGGAATTTGTTCATAGTTTTTTTTAAAACTATAGTCCGGCCCTCCAACGGTCTGAGGGACAGTGAACTGGCCCCTGTTTAAAAAGTTTGAGGACCCCTGCTCTAGTCTAATGGAGTGACTCTGACATACAGGTAGACTCAAGGTTTCTGTGGATGTTATACCAGCAGACACACTGCCAGTTTGGACAAAGGGACGAAGAAAGAACAAAATGGAAAAAGGCTGCCAGACCCCCCAAAGTCTACACGCTGGAACTGACCGATGAAACTATTCAGCTGCAAAAGTGTGCTATGGGTCATGGGAAGGATGGCTCTGCTGGAGCTGCAGGCCGAGGGGGGAGCCTTGCTCTGCAGAGGGTTATTCCCAGGCCTTGATGCATAAGAGTTTGCCATGTGGGATTTTGAAATTACTAGGGACAAGTGACTCCTTTTTTTCTTCTATTTTCTCCCGTTTCGAATGGCAGTGTCTACAACTGTTACTCGGTGCCTGTCCCATCCCTGTATTTGGGGAGTACAGAACTTGTTTTCTAGTTTCATGGGTCTCCAGATGGAGAGGAATTCTACCCCAGGGAGGAAGGGTCATACCGAAGTCTCACCCAGGTCTAGATCAGTGGTTCTCAACCTTCCTAATGCCGCGACCCTTTAATACAGTTCCTAATGTTGTGGTGACCCCCAATTTCACTGTTACAAATTGAACATAATTAAAGCATAGTGATTAATCACAAAAACACATGTGATTATATATGTGTTTTCCGATGGTCTTAGGCGACCCCTGTGAAAGGGTCGTTCGACTCCCAAAGGGGTCGCGACCCACAGGTTGAGAACCGCTGGTTTAGATGATTTGACGATGAGATTTGAGACTTGTGAGCTGATAATATTTTCAATGAACATTAGGACATTAATTGATGCTGTAATGGGTTGAGACTTTTGGATGCGGGGATGGGGAAAATGTAATTTGCATGTGGGATAGCTGTGAATTTTGGAAGGCCCCAAATGCTATGCGGGTTGAGTTATCTTTCTTGAAATTCAATAAAAACAAACACAAAAAAATCTCCTCCACACGGTCCCTTTCAAGCTCTGGGTATGTAACAGTCCATTACAAACAGTTGAGCACATTTTTTGGTCCTTGTCTTATTTGTGTACATCTTACTGCCTATTCTTTCAGCTGCAAGGCTGGCTCTGAAAAGATACATCGCAAAGGTCTCTGCCACTCTTACAGAATCAGAAAAGGGACCAGGGAGACTCTTCAAAGAAGACAAGGTACTACATTGTGATCATTGCTTGTTCTGAAGTCTGAGGTTTTTGCCTTATAGCTTTAATTTTATGCTAAAGTTCCAGAGGTAGGTGGCGGTCCTTACTACTCTCTTCTTCCATTTTCCTTCCCTCCTCCCCTTCTTTCCTTTCTTTCTTAATGACTGATAAGAGATGAACTAATACAAAGTAATGAAAGGCAGTGCCCTTGGCAGTCCCGGATCTGTCTCTTGCTTCAAAAGTGTTTGGACAGAACAGACCCAGGGATGCCCCTTTTCGCAGCCTCCGGCCACCCTCCTGCGTCTTATCCAGTCACCACCTTCAGAACCACCTCCGGGACCAGCCAACACACCAGCTTCTTTTCTACCTTAACCCCTTATCGCCGAACAACCATGAGCTCCCAGATCCGTCAGAATTATTCCCCTGAGGTGGAGGCTGAGGTCAACTGCCTGGCCCCCCTGCCTCTGCAGGCCGCCCACATCTACCTCTCTCTGGGCGAGATGGTGGAGATGAAGCTCGAGGGCTCTGAGTGTCTCTTAAAGTTGCAAACCCAGCGTCGTGGCCGCACTCTCTCCCAGGACGTGCTGAGGCCTCCCCAGATGAGTGGACAGAACTCAGGGCGCCATGGAGACCACCCTGGTCTTGGGGAGGAACCTGACCAGGCCCTCATGCTTGGTTCTACCCGTGCAGGCCCTCAGCTCCGAGACTTCCTGCAGAGCTACTTCCGGGTGAGGAGGTGAAGCTCATCAAGAAAATGGGCCACACCTGGCTCCCTCCACAGGCTGCGGCTCCCAGGCTGGGCGGGGCCAGTGGCTCTAGGAAAGGCTCACCCTCCAGCATGACTAGGAGCCTGTGGAGCCCGGAGGCCCTTGAGGGGCCCCTCTGCCTCCCCTGGTGTCTGGCTTTTACCTGAGCCTCTCCCCGAAACCACTGGCCATTCTTTTAACCACCCTGAAGCCTTCTCCCATGCATTGGACCAAACGAAATAATAAAGCTTTTGAGAAAAAAAAAAAAAAAAGTAATGAAATCATATTAAAGAGTGACATAGAGATGTACTAAGTAAATATCTCACCCAACAACATGAATGAATCTTAGAACTGAGTGAAAAAAAATGTACCAAAGACTACATAGATTTTTACAAAGCTCAAAAGCAAGCAATATCAAGCTATATTGTTAGGGATGCCAACATATGGGGTAAAACTATTTTAAAAGGAAAGTAAAGGTATAAGCCTCTTGGATGTGGGTGGGGGGCGGGTGGATTAGGAGGGGCACAGAAGCAGGATTAATAGTCCTGGAGGTGTCTGTCTGCATCTTCTATTGTTTGGAGAGGTCCACCGATACTCATTACTTTGCTTCAAACCAGATCTGCATCATGTATTTTAGTGTATATGAACATACCCACTACATACGTTTATTAATGTGTCACAGTTTACATAATGGTATAAAAGATGCATAGCTATAAAGATAGCGTGCCATATTGGCTGCATACTGAGTGCTGCATGTGGATTAGTGTACTGCTTTGGATGCACACACACACACACAAGATATACTCACGGTGTCAGGAATGTGTTTTGGTTTTGTTCCCTGCATTTCTCTGCAGGATGTTCTGAGAACTTTCTTGTGACTTTCTGATGAAAAGAATGAGAGATTGCTAAAGCATAGAGGTCTCCAAGTCTGGGAACGTGATTAAGTCACACATTTCACTTGTGGTTTATAAAGCACTTTACAAGATCTCTTATGAAACCAACAAAGCACAGGCAAGATTAAGCTCACAGGCTCGAGTCACGAAGTAGCCACCACTTTTTCAGTACTCAGTGGCCATAGATGTTACACATGTGGCTGTACTGGGCAATGCAGACACAGATCATCACAGAACGTTCTGGTAGGCAGTGCTGGTATAGAGGGATACAGTGTTTTATTTTTCAATAAATAAGTAAATTTTCTGGGTCTGTCTCTAGAATAACATCCTCACTGCATGCCGTATAAGAAGTGAGTGGTTGGAAACCCAATTGGAAGCTTCGATCGATGAGATTTTTGAGCAGAAACAACAATTGGAAGATATTGTGACTCCTATCTTCACAAAAATGGCCACACCACGTAAGTTTGGGATAAAAAGTGGGTTGAATGTCAGAAATATGGTGACAGAGGGAGACTTGACTGTGGGTCAACAAATACAACAGATGATGTGTTACAGAATTGTACACGGGAAACCTATACAGTTTTATTAACGAGTGTCACCCCAATGAATTTAATAGAAATCTTAAAAACTGCCTTCGTTTGTGTTTTATATTGCAAACTGATTAAACGGATCTTTAAAAATCTGCTTCCTTTCAGGTCAAGTGAGAAGTGCCAAATCTGTATCCTAAGCCTTGCTCAAGAAAAGAAGCCAAAACCATGCCTTCTACTGAACAGACACGTTATAAAAAGCCGCATTTTCTTCTAGCATTTGTAAAGGGACACCTATTCATGACAACTGAGGCTGAGAACATAGATGTGGGGTTTTATAAAAATGTTTAAGTATGAAATGGGACCACCCCTGTTCTGTTTTACCCTCGTCAGCGTGCTCCCGTCCGGACTCTGACCTTGACTATTCCCCTGGGTGCAAGCCCCTTCGAGCTCCACCTGCTCCTTCCAGAGAGCACTTGGTTGTGAGTCACTCACACAAACCATAGGGAAGCTTTAAAAGTTGGTTAGAGAATCTGATAACCTTCTGTGTAATGAGGCAGGAAGTTTCCGTTCAGTTAAAGAATTCTTTTTTTTTTTTTTTTTTTTAAATATATTTTATTGATTTCTTACAGAGAGGAAGGGAGAGAGATAGAGAGTTAGAAACATCGATGAGAGAGAAACATCGATCAGCTGCCTCCCGCACATCTCCCACTGGGGATGTGCTAGCAACCAAGGTACACGCCCCTGACCGGAATTGAACCCGGGACCCTTCAGTCCGCAGGCCGACACTCTATCCACTGAGCCAAACCTGTCTCGGCTAAAGAATTCTTTTAAGAGAAGACATAGTGGCTATTTCCAGAGGCAATTTTTTTTCTCCCTCTCTCAAAAGGAAATTATGGGATGTCTCCCTGGAGCAAGGAACTATTAAGAGGAGTTTGGATCAGGATCCTCAGCTCATGCAACTGTTACTTTTTATGTTCAAATTAAGATTTACCTGTAAGGTGGAATATAGTCTCTTAATACACCTTCTTATTTGTCTTTAGCCCCGTTCTGTCTGTGAATTAATAAGCACAAATCTGTTTAGTTTTATATTTAGATGTCTTCTATTCTGTAGGATTGGTAATGCAGCTATTATACCTGGATTCCACGTCAATTTACCTTCTGTTTTGTTTTACATTTTCTAGATTTTAAATATCATAGTAGGTTTCATATTAGTGATTTAGAATATTTGGAAATTTTTTTTCCCTAGTTTATCCGAAAGCCCCTGATCTACTACTCCATGACTTTCTGGAAAACTTTTACAAAAGAAAATATTTTTTAAATATATTTTATTGATTTTTTTAGAGAGGAAGGGAGAGGGATAGAGAGTTAGAAACATCAATGAGAGAGAAACATCGATCAGCTGCCTCCTGTACACCCCCCACTGGGGATGTGCCCTCAACCAAGGTACATGCCCTTGACCGGAATCGAACCCGGGACCCCTCAGTCCGCAGGCCAACGCTCTATCCACAAAGCCAAACCGGTTAGGGTGAAAGAAAATATTTTTTAAAAACCACATTTATTTGTTTTTTCTTTTGAGTTTCTCTTCTTTGTCTCACCCTGAAAGCTAGTTTTTATTATAGAGGTGAAGGAAAAGAAATAAGCAATTCAGCAATTCCATCGCAGCTGTGGTTTTGAGGTAACACTATTTTAAACTTGTCTCTCAAATGTTAAAATTTTGAGATCTTTTTTATGTCTGAGCGATTCAGTTGCCTTAAGCAAAAGGACAGGCAGTACCCCTCACTCCCGTCTTCAGTAGATGCCGCGGGCGGGCGTTTGGGGAGGAATAGAGAGAAGGCGCCCTGTGTTTGCTCTGTTCTCTCCCGTCTGTGTGTTGTGAGAAGTCCATTACCTTTAAGCACTGCCGTAATTTGGGACAAGGCCTGGTGCCATGTTTGCTCTCTCTAATTCTACGTCTTCTGAGCCTTGCTCTTGAATATGACATTGCTCTCCAGGCATGTGGCCTCCACGACAAGGAAGGACTCCCGAGCCTCCCCGTGGAGAATCTAGGTGAGGCCGAGGCACTTCTGGAGACTCCAGGATAAAATCGGCCTCTCTCTCCTTTATTCACCTTTTAGTCATTATCCTCAGAGATGTGTAGCTTTCGATCTACTTGCTAATGCTGACTTCATGAAACTCTTTGTATTGGCACTTTATGCCCTTAATGGTTTCTTTACGTCAAGCATGTCAAACTCAAAGGCTAACACGGGCCAAATAAACGAGGTTTAAGTTTATGTGGGTCGGGAAAAAAAAAAAAAAGCTTCAATTTTCATAGAAACATAGGGTTGCCCTAGCTGGCTTGGCTCAGTGGATAGAGCATCAATCCGCAGACTGAAGGGTCCCAGGTTTGATTCCGGCCAAGAGCACATGCCTGGGTTGCGGGCTCGATCCCCAGTAGGGGGCGTGCAGGAGGCAGTCGATCAATGATTCTTTCTCATCATTGATGTTTCTATCTCTCTCTCCTCCCTTCCTCTCTGAAATCAATAAACAAATACATTTTTTAAAGAAGAAAAAGCTTAAAAAAAAAGAAACGCAGGTTTATTTTGATAGACATGCTGAATACAAAGGGCTGAAATAAACGAGTAATTGTTAACATAAAATAATAGAACATTTTAATAAAAATTAATATTTTTTCTTGAACGTTAACTTACCAGACACTAAATAACTTGCACAAAAAACGTAACACAAATAAACCTATTTTTCTTGTTCTCCGAAAACGAAATATTTCCTGTTGCGCACACCAATCAAGTCAGTCCAAGACTAATGACGTGCCAATCGGCTGCTAAAATATTCACTGCTGCCCTGACCGGTTTGGCACAGTGGATGGAGCGTCGGCCTGCAGACTGAAGGGCCCTGGGTTCGATTCCAGTCGGGGGCATGTGCCTTGGTTGCGGGCACATCCCTGGTGGAGGTGTGTGGGAGGCGGCTGATTGATGTTTCTCTCCCATCGATGTTTCTGGCTCTCTGTCCCTCTCCCTTCCTCTCAGTGGAGAATTGATGAAATATATTTAAAAAAATAAAAATAAAATAAAATAAAATATTCACTGCTAGTATTAGTGGAGAGGCACATAAGGGAAATGAATGCAACACAATTATAGTAATCAATCATTAGCCAACATTGAGTTATTAATCCTATATAATGAAAGGCTAATATGCAAATCAACCAAACAGGGGAACACTGGTAGCTATGACGTGCACTAACCACCAGGGGGCAGACACTCAACGCAGGAGCTGCCCCCTGGTGGTCAGTGCGCTCCCACAAGGGAAGCACTGCTCAGCCAGAAGCCAGGCTCATGGCTAGCGAGTGCAGTGGTGGTGGCAGGAGCCTCTCCTGCCTCCATGGCAGTGCTAAGGATGTCCAACTACCAGCTTAGGCCCGCAGAGAGCGGGCCTAAGCCCTCAGTTGGACATCCCCCAAGGGCTCCCAGACTGCGAGAGGGCGTAGGCCGGGCTTAGGGACCGCCCCCCCCCCAGTGCACGAAATTCGTGCATCAAGTCTCTAGTCTATAATAATAAATGCATAGTATGCTAATTAGACTGGATGTCTTTCCAGATGTCCTTCCGGATGACCTTCCAGATGAAGCCAGGACTGCAAGGGCAGCCTGGGTCCCGGGTGCCGGAGGGAAGCCGCTGCCAGCAGCTGGGGGAAGGAAGGTCTACTCTTGCACGAATTTCATGCATCGGACCTCTAGTTATATATAACAGGATATTGTAAAAATTAAGTTACAAAATTTTTATTAAAACATTTCTTACATACCGTTATATTGGCTGGGCTGCAAAAATATTCGTGGTGGGCTGCATGCGGCCTGCGGGCCACGAGTTTGACATGCTTGCTGTACAGTCTTATGAACTTTTCCCCTCTTACACCAGCTGCTGTGTCTGTTTTCCCTAAATTCATATGTTGAAATGTAATGCCCAATGCGATAGGTTAGGAGGTGGGGCTTTTGGGATGTGGTTAGGACATTCGGGCAGAGCCCTCATGAATGGGATTAGGTTACCTCTGGCACCGGGTGAGGTTATGGTCATCTGGGAAGCAGGCTCTCACCAGACACCGGATCTGCTGGCACCACGATCTTGAACTTCCAAGCCTCCAAACAGAAAGAAAGAAATTTTTTTTGCTTATAAGTTACCTGGTTTATAGTTTTTTTTGTTATAGCAGCCCAAGCAGACTAAGACACCACCTCCTCTTTTCCATCTTGCCTCCAGTTTGACTTCTCCAAAGTCAATCCTGTCTTCTAATTTTACATGTCAATTATACCTCAACCAGCTGGAAGCAAGAAAGGTAATCCTTATCCTTGGTGGAGCACTCTGTCACCCCTCACCACGACCTTCTGTATCCCTAACGTTAGGAAGAAGGAACCCTGCGTGCTTTGGGGGCAGCCATAGTGCTAATAACCTCATCCTGTGTTCCATGGGATCTTTCACACATTTGTCTCCCCTTGTGAATTGTGCACTTTTTGTGGGTAGGGGTTTTGTCTTCTCTTCATACCTAAAGAGCCGATAGTATGGTGAGTAAGTAAGAGTTGAATGAATTCTCGTTGGGTGCTGATTCGTAGAACTCACTGGGTCTCATTCATCAATAGAGCTTGGTCACCTTTATAAAAATGAGCCCCGGACCCCACTCTCCGTACTGTGCTGTGCCAGTGCCCCGCTCCACTCCCATTCCTCCAGCAGACAAGCTGCACACACCCAGCCTCAGGACAGTGTATCTCGTTTCTTCTGGGACGTTCACCTTGGACGCCACGTTACTGTTTAAGCATGTGAACATGGAGGGGTTCATTAGGTGTGACATAGGAACGAGAGCAGAATTTCATTGTGACAAAGTAACTTCCTTGAAAGTAAACTACAAATTAATGTTCATTGGGTTAAATTTATACTGAATTTGTTTTCAGTGATTAGGGTTGAGGCAAAAAGGTATAAGTTAGGCATCACAGAGCTTGGGGTGTATTTTTTTTCTCCAATGAAAGCAGGTGAGATTGTTTCTTCAAATTAAGGACCAAAAGCCAATGAAAAATAGGAGTCAAGGAGGACAATGGGAGAGAGACACTCCCATTGAAAAGGAAGGAGTGATAGAAAAAGAAAATGTAAAAGGATGAATGAAAAAGTCAGAGGGGAGACAAGGCAGTGCTGAAAAGGGTTAGGGTTGAACAAAGAAAAACAG